TGCAAAAGGAAGAGATTGGGCGGGAGCTTCTTTTGAAGTTGCCGTTATGATGTTTGGTGGGCGGGCGAAGGAAAAAAATACCAAATTCTGGGTCAGTCAGTCGCCTAAGCCGCGTGGTCTGTGCGCCGCTCATTTTCGGAACGGAATTAGATAATATCGCGGGGGAGGTTTTCCCGGCTTGCATGCATCATGGCGTAACCAAGTATGTATGCTCTTTGTTGATCTAATCAAGGCTAACGGCTAATGGTTCCATGGCCCGCCAATGGCTGCAGCTTGTTTGTTTCTGCAGTGAAAGAAACAAGAACGCAGTGCTCTCTTCTTGCTTGACTGAAACACAGAGCCTGGACAATAAGAAGCTCAAACAAAGCAAGCGTCCCATTTAGAGCTGAGTGCTTTGTTTCTGTCCCCTTGCATGCATTGGTATATACCTCTAGGTAGCCAACGGCCTACATGAATGGACCACGCAAAGGTATAATATTACACATCACATATAATGTGTGATGGTTCGGTAGGCAATGACCAGCAATTCTGCCCCGCAGGCCTCAAGCATGGTAGATCTTGAAAGAGATGCAAAGCCAGGGGTTTAGCAGATGCTCATCGTGGGTCCCTGTTTTAGCCAATTGAAACTCTATGTCAAAACGAGGTTCATTCTTGAGCTTGCCAAGCAAGAAATTTAATTAAGAATAAATAATGAACGAATGTAGAAATGATAATGGCCGACAAACTTTAGAAGTAGATCCCGTTGAGTGGTGCTGTGAAAGTACCAGCCAGATAACCGCTACAAGTACTAGTACTCCGAAGTAGTATACAGATTGCAATCGTATCATTGCCACCAGCATAACACCGTAATGAGTTCAGCAAATTCATTTTTATCAAGAAATCTTCAGCTCAGACAGCCATCTCGAGCTTTTTTGACCCTCAATGACGAAATGAAAAGTCACATTCAAGCACACCTGTAACCCGGTCAGACATCCCTGGTCCAAATTCTCGGTGAGCTAATGCGGGGTGTTGCCGCACACCTAGATTTTTTTTTTAGCTCACCTTGATAATAAATTTTCTTATCGCCAAAAAATCTAAAATCTACCCTTACACCTACCTAGCCAGGTCAAAAACTTGCAGCAAGTTTACGGATTTCTCTTTTTTTTTTTTTCCCCTCCCATAATCGCCATCTTCCCCCTTTTCTTTAATTACTCACATTTACGCATTTTTTTTTTCCAAATTCGCCCAAGATGCCCAAGTCCAAGCGCGCAAAGGTCGTCCACCTCACCCAGGTCTCCAAGAAGACCCGTGAGCAAAAGGATCAGCTCTTCCAAAACATTCGCGATCAGGTTCCCGAGTACCAGCACTGCATTGTCTTCAATGTCGATAACATGCGCAACAACTACCTCAAGGAAGTGCGCCGGGAGCTCAACGATAGCCGGTACGTGTTCATCAAAAGGGAAGAATAGAACTCGGAGAAAAGTTGGCTAACCGATTGTTTGCGACGAAACATAGACTCTTCTTCGGAAAGACAAAGCTCATGGCCAAAGCCCTCGGACAGACCCCCGAAGAAGCCATCCTGCCCGGCATTGAGGGCCTCGCGCCGCACATTGCCGGTACCGTCGGCCTCCTTCTCACCAACCGCCCCGTCAACGACGTCCTCGACTACCTCAACGGCATCGTCTCCGTGGATTTCGCCCGCGCCGGCGTTACCGCCTCACGCTCCTTCATCATCCCCCCCGGTGTTGTGTACGCTACTGGCGGCGAGGTCCCCAAGGAGAACGACATCCCTCTCGGACACACAATCGAGCCTGAGCTGCGAAGACTGGGCATTCCCACCCGAATGGTCAAGGGCAAGGTCGTGCTGGGCGAGGAGAATGGCGAGGGAGAGGGCTACACTGTCTGCAAAGAGGGCGACGTTTTGGATTCACGGCAAACCAGACTACTGAAACTATTTGACGTCTGCCTGAGCGAGTTCAAAATCAAGGTTCTAGCGTAAGTTTTTTTTTTTTTTTGTCTCCTCTTCACAGACAGAGTCATCATCGCCATATGGCATTCATATCTGACAATTTATAGATACTGGAGCGCTGCGACCAGCGAGGTAACAGAAATCGAGCAAGCCGCCATGGAAGGCGTTGAGGAAGATGAATAAAGCACTTTGATCAACGATTTTCGAGGTTGTAGTTTTTTTCGGTGGAAAATGTTCTGTGTGCGTGCAACATATACCAGCAACGGATTTGTTTGGGTATTTCGGCGTTTCCAAGGTTCTTCTTCACAGGGTTTTCAAAAAAAAAATAATAGAGGGACATTACATGTTCATATACATATGCATATGCTCCTGAAATGATGATCAAGCAATAAAGATGGTCTGCGTCTCAAGTCTCTCTCATCATAATTGTAACAGAAAAAGTAACTACGCATCTGTTTTTCGCATAGCCGCAAAAAAACAAAAGATTAATTGGCACATCAATTGATTACTTTGTTTTGCTTTTCTTTCTACTCTTTTTCTTCTCTCTTTTTTTTTTTTTTTTCTGGCTCAATGTCTTTATAAAGAAAACTCATTGCGAAAAACAGACGAAAGCAATTACCTCAGTCTTGCAATCAGCAGGTCACAAGAGCTTACCTCGGACTTTACCTCAAGCTCCAAATTTTGTAGTTGCTTTACCTGCCAAACGCCCTATAATACATAACGAGACAAGATATTTCTTCGTCCTGTCCCTATTATTAAGTGTTTCCTGTCCAGTAGTGACAAGCTGATTGATACTCGGTATTTGATAGTAGTGGCCTCTCTCTCTCTCTTTCTCTTGACCAAGAAACCAGCGGAAAGAAGGATTTGTTACCCATAAGTCAAGAGTGGTGGGCTACAAGCTAATAAAAGACGACATAGGATAAGAGATCGGGGGGTGTTGAAGTTTTGGTGATCTAAGTGTCTGAGAATGGTCTGGTGGCAGACTGCAGGCTTCTTACCCTTGAGAGGTGAAAGAAAGGATGCAAAGGAAATTCGTCAAGCAATCATTGCTTACCCACCAAGTGTCGAAATTTGCGTCGACTTGCACCAGTCATCTACCTTAGTAGCGGCGCAGCTTTCGAGGGTCTTCATAGCCACCACCTTCGTATCCTCGCTTCCGGTTGTCGTCATCGCGTGGGCGATCATAGTCCCTTTCCCGATACCCACCTTCTCTGCGGCCAATGGGTTCCATGTTACTACCAGTCCGACGTCCCTCGCGGTCTCGGTCACCACGGTCACGGTCACGGTCTCGATCACGGTCGCGGTCGCGGTCTCGATCGCCACGGTCACGATCGCCATATCGGCCGCCGCCATCTCGGTGGCCGCCAGATCTGTCATCATATGAGCGTCCGCTGCCTCGAGACTCATACCCACCACCAGAGAAGCCTCGATCTCCGTTTCTTCTGTCGAGGCCGGGGCCGGACGGCGCTCCATTGGGTGCTCCAAATCCGCTTCGGTCGCCCCCTCGATCGCCGCCTCTATCGCCGCCTCGGGGGCCAAAGTCGCCGCCACCGCTTCGGAATCCGCCTCCACGGCCACCACCAAAGCCTCCACGGAATCCGCCTCGGCCTCGGCCTCCTTCGAAACCTCCCTTGAAGCCTCCGCGGAAGCCTCCTCCTCCTCCACCACCACCACCTCCTCCAAAGCCTCCGGGGCCACCGGGGCGAGATGGCATTGCTCGGGTATAGCCTCGACCGCCTAGGCCACCGCCTAATCTGCGGGGCAGCCAGTTCTTGGCAGTCCTGCCGCGTTCAACATCCACCTTGATACGCCTGTCTTTGATGCGAATGCCATCACAAGCGTCCAGGGCAGCTATTCGTTATTGCGTCAAGAGACGCCAATGTCAGCAACTCTTACCATAAAACTTTGCGCGGATTCATGGTTCATAGATTGGGAAGGATGAGACAGGCAAGCTTGAGGGCCTAGTGGACGTCTCTCGTGGTATGCTTCTGCAGATGGGCAAGCTTGAGGGCCACATCTTCGAGGTATATCCACCGGAATTTGGATTTGGAATGGTCATATAGCATAAAAGGGATGGGGAAAGTTTACCTCTCATATCCTTTTCGCGCTCAAAAACAACAAATGCGTAGCCTCTGTGTGGTTTCTTCTTCTTATTAGGCTTCTCGTGAGCATGGGTATCAACAATAATGCGAATCTGGTGAAGCAGGTCAGTTCCAGTTCTCAGGCTATAACGTAGACATTGATGGATACGGACACGCTCAATGGGGCCAAACCGCCCAAACTCTCTTTCCAGATCACGCTCCTCGGCGTCATAGCTAAGGCGGGCAACAATGAGAGTCTTGAAGGCATCTCCACGGATGTTGGGATCCTCGTTTGGTTTAACTATCAGCACCAGTTAGTACGGCAATTAAAATCTGCATCAAAGCTGCGTTCCAACTTGACTTGGCATCCTTACATTGTTTGGGCCCCTCGGTAACAAGATTTGTAGCATTCTCCTGTGTCTCTCGCTTTTTCCGATCGCGCATCTCCAGCCAGCTCTCGGTGGGCTCGTACTTGTCCGTCTCCTTGTACTTTTGAAGCTCAGGCAGGAAAGCAGCCACGCCGCCGATGGGAGCCGTCCTGCGCTTCTCAGGCGCATGGTCAGATGGTTCTACCCATCGCAGCGGAGGTCGCGCGGCAAAGAGCGCCAACAAGTTAGGGGGTAACTTGTCGGTCATCGCGTAGGATCCGGGCAATCGCCGTCGTCGCTATCGATTGGCAGGCAGAGAGAAGATGCAGGACTGTTCGGTCAGAGGCGACCACGGGTTCTGGCGTCCCAGATATCAAGATGCCCTGGTGCGAACGGGTTATTGCCTGCAGCAAGTAGCGTGAGACAAGCTGCCGCGCGCTCTGCCAGCAGTAAATTCGTGTAGCTTGACTCCAACTGAATTGAGTTTTGCCGGGGTTGTGCCTTGTGGCGCTAGCCCCGATCCGTCCGGCCATCGAATTGTTTCAATTTTCGATGCTGCGCTAGACGTGCTACGAGCTCGATCATGAGAATAGCGGCTGGAATATTCAGGCCACATCCAAAATGACAGTCAAGGCGTTGCGAGCCATTGCTGATGGCAAGGTATGCGGACGATTTGCACAAATTATTGGCGGAGACGAACTGACTTGGAGTTAAGAATGGCCTGGGGGCGTTTGTCCTTCAGTGCAGGAAGCTGGATCTGCATTACTGCGACTGGGCGGGCAGCTCAAGGGGAATGAAGTAGGCATATTCACACAAGCCGAAAGCATGGTCTGTTCATCATTGCTAATCTCATCTTCCGTATAGTGGCTTCATCAAATCACTGCTTCCCAAGTTCGCAGCCGCCAACCCCCAGATCGAGTTCGCCGTTTCCCCACGACCCGGCAAGCACCCCGTCGTCGTCGGACACTACATCAACGGCCGTACAAAGCCCATCTGCGTGCGCAACCTCTCGCCATACGAGATCCTGCAAAAGGTGGAACTGTTGAGAGATGCTAGTGGAGAGAAGTTGAGGAGGACGAACAAGGCTGTTCTGAGCACCAAGCCCAGTGTCAGAGGCATCTGGTCTCCGTACCACGGCAAGGGAATGGCTGTATGATTTGAGCGAATTTTCTGTTTTACTACGGTTTTTTATGTATTATGCCCGTGTATTTGTATTAGGATGGAGCACATAGATAAAATTGGTATTGGGCTGCTGGTGCATATAGGACACACCGCTACAAGATGTAAATCACTGCAACTTGCTGGGAATAATGTCCATATCATTTACGAATTTTATTGTCTTATCGGAAGCTTCATTACTTTTTTTTATACACTATATTTAACTTTTATCGGATTATGTTTTCTAGGCAAGAGAAAGCATTTACTGCTTCTGGCAGTTGATGATGTCGACAACTAAGGCTCGTTAGCATATGAGAGGCAATACAGGGCAAAGTCAACAGTCTCAACTTACAAGCAGGCTTGAGAGAAGCACCGCCGACGAGGAAACCGTCAATGTCGGCCTGCTTGCTGAGCTCGCCGCAGTTCTTCTCGTTGACGCTGCCACCGTACAGGATGCGAGTCTCGTCGGCAACCTTGTCGCTGACGTTGGCCTTGAGCCACTCTCGGATGGCCTTGTGAACCTCCTGGGCCTGCTCAGTGGTGGCAACCTTGCCGGTGCCAATGGCCCAGATGGGCTCGTAGGCGATGACAATCTTGGACCAGTCGGAAATCTGGGCCTTGAGGGCGGCGAGCTGCTTGCTGACCACATCGATGGTCTTGCCGGCCTCGCGCTCCTCCAGGGACTCGCCGCAGCACCAGATGACGCTGACGCCGTTGTCAGTGGCGTACTTGGTCTTGAGGGCAACAACCTCGTCGCTCTCGCGGAGGATCGTGCGGCGCTCGGAGTGGCCCAGGATGGCCCAGTTGATGCCGCTGTCCTTGAGCTGGGAGACGGAGACCTCGCCGGTGAAGGCGCCATTGGGCTTGTCGTAGACGTTCTGGGAGGCGACCTCAATCTCCTTGCGGAGGTTCTCACGAACGAGGAGCAGATGCAGGTAGGAAGGAGAAACGACGACCTCTAGAGAGAGAAGAACAGGGCGGTTAAAATTGTTTCGTTCTGTTTCACCAGAGCGCCTTCAAAGGACAAAACGAGCACATACCGACGCTGGGGTCGAGAGTGGCGTTGTTCAGGTTGCCGACAATCTCCTTAATGGACGAGATAGACCCGTTCCTGGCAGTAGGCTTCCATCAGCTTGGCTTCGCTCCCAGTTTGCAATTGTCCATATCCAAAGCCCTGCGCTGTTTTGACCAACGCGGGGCATGGCGGGGTGGTACGACGACAGGAAAGAAAAAAGGTAACACAACTCACATCTTGAAGTTGCCGCCGACGAAAAACTTGCGAGCCATTGTGACTGGAGTAGAGAGTATCGTGTGAATAAGGGTGCTAGGAAGCAGATGCAAAAAGACGCAAATCCAAAGAGAGAGATGAAGCTGGCGTCGATGATGTAGATTGGCGGTAGCAACGAGAAAACGTTCGAGCTTCGGGTGGAGGGGCAGAGCAGCTGTTTAGCTCCAAACATGTGCCGCAAATGCGCCGAAATCCGGTAGACGACGCTGTGTGCTGGGATCGGCCCCACCATCGGCTACGAGTATAAGGGACCAGACATCTGTTATGTGTCTATAATATGACATGGCTACTAGAGGGCTTCAATTGCTCATTACATTTTAACAGTATGCATCTAATGTTTTATGATTTATGGCCTTCTCGGTAGTGGACGCTTCATGTACCTTTTGACAATGCTTCTTCTATGCTTTTCCACAGCGAAAAGATCTGCGTGACTGGCTACGTATGTGGCTCTACTTGCATGATTCATGAACATATAAAGGGAATCATCACCACACCAGGGGATATAAAACATATGAAAGGGAATGAATCAGCCGCAGAGTTGAAACAAATGTCTAAAGCTTGAGTGTGATAGACAAACTTCCCACCCGTATATATAGAGACGATGCAATGCCTCCCCCCAACTCCAAAGATCTGCTACCCTAGCATAAGTTCTTCATCACAAGCTTGAATTCACCCTACACTCTAGCCAGAGCAACCCAAGTCTGCTTCTGAAATTATTTCCTCAGTTTGCCACAAATAAAAAAAAACTCTGAACCATGTCCACTTTCTCATACCATTTGGATCAAGAGCTGATGATGCTCCATTCAACCGTCATCGCCCTCAACGAGAGTCTCCTGACTCTGGACACGGCGGCACAAAACGCGGCACAGAACGTAGCACGAGAGCCTGAAACAGCCCTAAAGCCAGTTCGCGACGCAACGACGTACGCCATCGGCTTGATTCACAGCATTTATCCATCGATTATGACCTTGAGGGGTTCTGTGCAAGTACTGAGAGATCTTGGATGGTAGGCCCTGTTATGGCAAGCTCGCTTTGGTTTCATTTGAGTAAAGATGTACTACTCAAATAAGTCTCAGTAGAGAGCTCATCGTTCGTGAATAGAGCCCTGTTACACTGTACCACGGCAGAGGTCGCTTCTTGAGCAGTTATTTACAGGGGAGTCAGTGAGCCAAAGACAGCATTGAGTAAAAAGCAAGTAGCAATAATTCATTGTCATCATGAAAGTATATACCAAGTCCAACCCATAAAAAGAAAATATACTAAGAAAATCATCACCAGTGAAACTGGCTGAGCGAATGCCGGTGCCCTAAGAAAAGGCATCTAAATCTAAAGTACCGAAGAAAACCGAGGGTATTGACAAAGAAAAAACCATGTGAAGACAAGAATGAGTATCAAATCAAACGCTGTTTATCCCTTTCAAACCCAAATCCTAGCCCAAATCCAAAATCCAGATCCAAATCCAGGTCCAATTCCAAACCCAAAACCAATTCCAGCCAATGCTTTTAGCATCCAAGAAAAGAAAGAAAGATATAAAATAAACAAAACTGGGATGCTTTTGGTTCATCCATAAAATCGATGAAAACATCGCTCCGGCTCAAACCCCGAAGTAGCATGATGAGCTTTGCCCAGCAGCCACTATTCTGCTAGGCTTAGCAGTCCGTGATGGACGTAACCCACTATACGAGACTGTTTACTCGCAGGGTGTCCATGCCATGCCATGGGGTGTATATATATGATGCAAATAGGAAAATAAAAAGGAACTAGCCCGCGTGGAGCTATATCATGGTAATAAACGAGAGACCAAAACACAACCAGTCATCGACACTTCAAGGGAGATAGTGTCGGCCGTTGGGTGCCAACTCAGTCTTGATGTTCACTTGGGCCGAAGTCATCTTGAGCATAGCCTCAAGGTGCTTTTGGGCCTCAGAAATGTGCTGGAGGTTGTGGACATCGTTGGGCTTGGTCATTCGGCTCAGCATATCAGTGACGACCTTGTGGTGGTCCATCCACTGTTCAATGAGAGGCTTGACAGGGGGCTGCTTTGGCTCTGGGGCGGGCATCGACTTGATTGAGGCCTTGCGGCTAGTGGAGCCTTGGGCATCAGAGACATCAGACGACTTGCGCTTGCGTCCCTTGGCGGCTTGCTGAACAGCTCCAATAGGGGAGCTGCCAGCGCTGCCGTGATCATTGTGAACTCGCTTCATGTGGTCTCGCAGATTCCACTGGCGCGGGAAACCGCTGCCAGGAATGGATCGCTCACAACCTTCATGCATGCAGAGGAAAGGCTTATCGCCGTGGCCGTGAAGACCATGAGCTTCACGCTCGTGGCGAAGAAGGCAGGCAGTAGAGGAGAATCTGGCACCCTCGCAAGCTTCAGCCTTGCATCGGTAGGGCTTCAAGTGGGAGTCAACAAACTTGCTGTAAGAGAGGTTGGTGATTAGCATTTGAAGTCTGAAAGGATAAGACCACACAGGCTTACTCGTAGTTGCACTTAAGCTTCTCGGGCTTGTGGTTGCAGTTTTGCTGGCCCTCCCAGGGGCAGTGAAAGAGGCCGTCTCCCTTGGGAGTGACGTTCTTGTACAGAGCATGGTCTCGGGCAGACTCTCCCTCATTTCCCTGTCGGCGGGCGGTATAGGCTTGGGGAAGAGAGGAGGTATCTTCCATCTGGGACACGGCGTGTTTGTGAAGGTCCTCTGGCATCATGGGGATTTTTCTGTCTCTAGAATCGAGCCGGTAAGAACATGTCTCATCCACATTGTGGAATATAACATACCTGGGCGATTGGCAAAGCTCGGGGGAAGAGGCAGGGCTGAAAGGAGCAGACTGCCATGAATCATCAATGGTAGCAGGGGAGGAAGTTCTGGAGATGGAGCTAGAAAAGCAATCCCAAGTGCTGGGGGATGATGCATCCGGGACAGAATCATTGGCAAAGTGCATCTGAGATGGAACCACGTGGAGCGGGTTCACGTTATGGACCGGGAAGGCAACGCCATCGGCACCCAGACCCATTTCGAGAGAGGCGTAGTCGGACCAGTACATGTGGGACGAAACACCGTGGGCATCTGAGTTCAAGAGGCAGGAATCCATTCCGTTCATGGAGCCAGTAGATTGAGATCCACTCCGGAAAGCTTGTGCATTACCTCTAGTGCTCATATTAGACATCTGTGTCGGTGAAACAGCAGAGCCGTTGGAGCGGCTCGAGCTAGCTCGAGACATAGCCTGGGCTCCTATGTGGATGGACATGGGCGCCTTGGGAGCGGCCCATGCCACCGCAGCGGGTTGGGCCTGATCAAGTCTGGGTCCCCTAGGTGAGTTATGACCAGATGCAAAAAGATATTCCTCGGCTTCTCCTGAGTGCGATGATCCATTGTCCGGGTAATCATGTAAGTTCTGTGGCCCTTCTGCATTTGCACCCCACGACGAACCGTTCATAAGGTCCGCCGTTGGTTCTGTATGAGAAAAAGAAAACATGGCAGGGGTAGGCGCAGCCATAGATGACTGGGAGTAGCTGAAGGTGCTAGGTCAGGTTAGTGTGCTGTTCTCACCACCAAGATTCATCAACGTAGAAAAGAAAAGAGAAATAAGCAAGACTAGGCTTGCGGTATCAACTTTGATCCTACGAGGGGGGTCAGTAAGCTAATCGTAGAGTCAATAGGGGGAACAAGGTCACACAAACCCAGCCATAGACAAAAGAGGTAGTTGTTCTGACAGCAAGTCTTCACAATCCCATGAAAAAAAAGTATCCATATTGGGCTCCGGCTTCAAGAGATGAGTTGGCGTAATCCAGCGTGGTCCAGTGTAGTCCTTTTTTTTTTGGGTCGATTTGTGACTCCAGGTCAAGCAGGGCAAAGAAGGGCAAAGCAAAAAAAAGGACAAAGCTAACAAAAATTCATAATCGCGTACATTCATTTCGAACCGAGAGGCCAACAAGGTCCGGACACGTGAGTCGAAAGACACATGGGTTTTGGAGTCGGTGAAGGTCCAGCTCAGAGTAAGGCCAGTTGTCACAGATCCGCTTCTGCAAGTTTGCGTTCGCAGTCAAATTAAACTGCTTTCCGTCCAAGTCCACGTGTAGACCGCTTAGGGCCAGCTGTACAGTCGTAGGTCGTGGGGTGACTGGTCATCCCGAGATCTAGAAAAGCAGGTCCGTACATTCGCTGGATGGTCCAGAAGGTCCTCTGGCTCCGCAGGTTCTCCGTAGCAGATACGTGGCTCATGCAAAGATTTGGCCAATGGAAGATATCGAAAATCTGTCGCTTCAATTCAAATAGCGGGCCGTTTCTTACCAGTGGCACAAGGCCAGAAAATTATATATTTCATTGATTTCTCAATTGTTTCCTTGTCCGGCTGGACAAGTCCTGTTCCAAAAAGAAAAAAAAAAAGTTCTGTTCCGTTCAGAAGGTCCGCGTGGCTATTCCAATGGCTTTTTGGCATCCTGGTGTATCCTGTGGCTGGTTTCAAGGCGGCAAGACAAGCTGACAGAAACAAAAGAAGAAAAGAAATTACATGATACTTCGCTCAACAGGACGCAATTTGAAAAGCAGAAACAGAACAAACGAAAAACAAAAAAAAAAAAAACCGAAAAGCAGAAAAAGCAGAAAAAACACGCAATATCCTGAGCATAAAGAAAACAGTACCTGGGCAGCGAAGAGACCTCATCAAGGTCAACAGCATTATAGCTAGACATGTTTGCCTGGTGAGGCAAAAGAGCAGCTGTCATTGTATCCCGGATGGAATCTGTGAACAGGGCCCTGGATGGCAGATCCGGCAGGTCAACTTGGGAGAGTTGACGGTGAAGATCGAAGTGATGGTGGCGACGAAAAAGTCCCTTGGGTTTACTTGCAGTTCCTGACGGCTGACTGATGATGAGATGGGGGCTGCAAGTGGATACAAATGAGAAGTGAAAAGTCGGTCTTGGTACGATGATAAGAGGATTCAAGGATGTTTTGGGCAGAAACCGTTGGGCAGAAAGAAGAATTAGGAGAGGAAGTTGGGCAACGAGGGGGCCCTGCGGGTTTTATCATTGCCGTCCAGTCTGACTCTCGATCCGAGTAGGCGCAATACCCCCGCCGCAAGCGTGTCTCACCACTCAGCAATGCCAATAAACGGCCGCCGCAATGGCCTCTGTGCTGGCCGCAGGAGTGCGCTGGCGTGTTTTCGTTGAGGATGATAGGCTCGCTTTACAGGGGCCTGCATGGTGTGCTGGCGCTGGCCGGGTCTCTTCCTTGGTTGTTGGATGGATCTAGTGGAGCACGAGACCGACGAAGGATCCTATCATTGACGAGCATCGTCGTGCGAAGTGACGAACAGTGGTGATGGCTGCAGGCCAACACAGCAGTGCAGAGGAGGCGGGCACCAACGAAAATTTTTTCTCTGCCGCAGTTGCAGGAGGAGGAGACGGCCGGTGAGGCGGTGCCGCGAGCTGGTGCGTTTGGTCTCGTTTGACATATAATGCCTCGCCGGTGAGAGGTGATTGAGGCGAGCCGTGAAGCAGCTGTTCGTCGCCAGTAGATTGCCGCTCTGGCGAGCCTGTAGAAAAAGCACGGCGGTTGAGCGTCCCCTGGTCCTTGGCTAGCGGTCTCAGACCCTGTCGAGCGAAGAAAACAAGCCGGGTCTGGCGTTGCGAGCAGCTTCAATTCCGTCATTGCCGGCGGCCGCACCCCAGGACCGGCCAGGTCAGCCTACTGTATGTGTTGTGTGTTGTACATGCTGTCGGCGGCTCGTATCAGGCGGCCAAGCGCTGCGCTCTGCATGGTGAAGCGTAACATGGTGGACCGCGCGAGGGCATCTCGAGCCTCTCGTTGGCCGCTTGCAAGGTCTTGGAAGCGGGGTTTATCAGCACCAGCGTCCAAAATGCCGCCAGAAAGATGCGCTGGCATGCAGGCAGGGAGCGTCGCAGACGAATAAAGAGCGTCGACGGTGATCACGCAGAAACGCGATTATGCACCTGCTCAGCCATTTCGTCACCGCGCGCGGGCAGGTGAGCCATTGAAATAAAAGAGAAGACGACGTGTCGACTGGTTGGAGGAGAGCGGTTGAGGTTGAAACAGCCCAGGCCGCAGCAACTGCTGCATTAGCTAAGCCGCCTGGCAGTGGCATCTTTCGAGCTCGGTCCTCCTCCCCCTCTCCTGGATGAACCAAAACTCCCGCGACGATATTCGATATTTACAGCATAAATTTCTGCAATTCCAGATACCTATACAGATAGATGGCTTGAAGCTGTGTCTGTTGCTGCATGCTGTATCCCGAGGAACTGGAGGTTATCCCGGCGGCAATTCTGATATCCTATCTGGTGCTCACATCTGTCAACCATCTGCGCAGGGAGAACCGGTTCTTTCTCTCTAGGCTGCTTCATTACTCGACAACAACTGATACAGCCCACCAAGGACCTATCGGATTTCTCCATTGGTGCAGCTTCCGCCCCAAGGCAGAAAATACAGCAAGTGCTGTGTGCATAAGTGTGCTCAATCTCGTTCGCAGGAGTCCTCAGCCGCAGTCTTACACCGAAATGAGCCTTCAGCCGCGGCGAGGCATCATGACGATCGCCTAGGTAGGCTTATAGAATCTTCTTGGCTGCCTGAAGGCTCATTTCGGATGGGCTGATTTCAATTTCCGCCTGGGACGCCGGCAGTCTCAGCCCGTTGGGCTCGGCTGGGTGCCATTTGTTGAATCGAAATGGCTGCCCGATTTACTCATAATGAGCCTCTATGCCATCTACCTACCCCTTTCAACCGCGCCCTTCCCTTATTTTCTTTACTAATGAGCGACTTATTCGATTCTTCATATGCTGAAATTCATCTGTATCATGAATTTTCGTTATTTTCAGTGCCAATCTGGTCAATATTTGCAAACATTCTGGCATTCTCACGTTCCGTTTTGTACGGAGATTGGAGCGAACCGCTCCCTGTTTGCTTTGCATTGTTTTGCTGCTCAGAATTGTCGATCATTTTTGAGTTGGATCCACTGTCCCGAGCTCCACGCTGAGAACAAGGTTTGGTTTGGCGGATGTAACCGGGGTGGTAGGTTGAGGCCTGACTGATTCGTAATGCCCAGCTCATGGTTTGCTTTTCCGTGTGGCATGTCTCGAAGTCGTACTAGCATTCGCACTACATCCGAGTGTCACAGGTATAATGAGCATTCTAGAATAAATAAGAGTGCTTGGCAGTGCCATGACGCTTGTGCTCCGTAGGACCAGCCTGGGATTGACATTGCGGAATTTAGGCTGTCTACATGTAGGTAGGTGGTAGTATAAAGCCACACATTGCTGCTTTGGGACCGTCGTTGAAACTGTCTCGGCTGCCTTTACGCCGCACTCCGTATACGAGATTGACTCCCAACGTCTCCACGCCGGTGAGCCCTGCACTAGAGGCCGGCTGCGCAGGTGAGCCCAGGTTGAAGTAATCTCGAGTTTCTCACTCTTGCAAGGTACTAGAGCATACACTCTGGCCCGAGACTGGATTGATTCTCGGAGTCTAATGCAGTTGACAATATTTCATAGAGGCAGGTATTAGTAGTATCATACTAGAAGGTGTAAGTGATAGCGGTACCTATCCAGTACCTTGCAGAGCGCCCGAATGCGTGTTAGCTCGCTGGTCTGTTCCAGGTACCCCGTCGACTCCAAAGGCCATCGAGAAATTGCGATCGATATTGTCCAACCCATGAAACGGGAGCGCCAGAGGTTCACCCATGTCCTCGGGCAGGCCTTGCTCTCGCGTGCTCGCTTATCCCCGATCCAGCTGATGCCGCCAATCTTCCAATCCCATTGCCCAATCGACCATGATCCTGACAGAGAGCTCTGAGCTTGGCTTCGAGCTCTATCCAGCTCTCCAGAGCTCCGAGAACCTTGAATGTACGTGCGAAATACCAGGTACATGCATGAGCCTCAGCCAAAGCCAATGGCAATGCGTCTCCTGCACCTATGCTGCCTAAAGAACTGCTAGATGCTACATACACATGTGTTCAGCCGAATTGGCCGACTGCATGCACTCCAAGCCCGCTGGGAAGCTCATTTTACGGCTCACGGCGTCTGGAATCTCCCAGCGAAGCTCGAGCAGTTCCCGGCGTACGATACGGGCGGCTCGGCTGAATTCGTCGTCGAAACCCTTCTCACTTGCTTCTCTCTCGCGGATCCGCTCGTCCTCGCATGAATGTTTCCCGCCGTGGATGGCCCATGCCGTGATCTAAGTGGGCAGCTTGTCCGGATCAATGCGGTTGGGCTGGAAGCAGACGCAGCCCAATGGCTCTCATGTTGATGCCCAAACGGACATCAGCCAGCCTACCACATGCATTGACCGCCTCCCTTGCCCTTTTTCCCTGCCTGGAATTTCCGGACCCCAGCAGCCAGGATGACCGCCGTTACTGCTTTGAGCTTTGGGCAACAATCAGCGGAGCCCAACCAAAACCTGCCCTACCCCACGATCGTGTGCCTCGCTCCAAACGTCCTGCGAGGCGACGAGATCCATGAAGCACCTCTGCTCTTGCCTCCTCCAAAAAGCAGGTTAGAGAGCATCACCCGCGTCATGAAACAGCCTCGGGGCCTTGCCACTCTGGTCACGTCTTCTGCCGCAAGTCACAGATTGGTTGCAGCATTCCAGCCTGTCGCTGCCGGCTCGCACCCTTGACCTTGATACGGCATCTCGTCCCACTGAAGGCTTCCGCCAACGTCCACCACGTTCCTGCTCCACCAGCAGCGCGCGAGAATCAAGACCAGACTGCACGTATGAAAGAGCTTCCCCTTGCACCTCTCAAGCGCGGGCCGTTGACCCCGGATCTAGTCGTAGGCGCCCGATTACTTGGGACGAAACAGGTGGCCTCGAGACCTGGCTGTGCCTGCCGATTCGACTTCCTTCTCCTCTCCTCGCGCCTCTCGATGCCAACCCGAGCATCGCTAGTGATCGACTCAGACCGGGGTCGCCCTGCTCTGCTCTCCAGACTAACGAGTGCCAAGTGCTGAGCCTACCGCGTGAGCTTGATCTACCTGCCTGTGCATAGCGGTACATAAAGCGTGTCCATTCCGGGGCTGACGAAGCAGTTGTCTTACAGGTCTATCTTGCCCAGACGAGCAGCGTCCATTCCTCCATTGCCTGGAATTTTGGATCCTCAAGGACGATTCGGGCCTTCGCACTGAATTTAGTGCCTGATACCACAACTTACATACCCGCCAGGGAGCTACAGCTAAGCTTGAAGTTGGCCACTCTGGATTGGTCGCCTTAGCTGTCCAACACACCGCCTATAGCTATAGCTCACTTTTTGTGTGAGAAGACCCAAAGGACCTCCATCTCCTTCGGAATACTTGCCTTCTCTCCTTTGGATTTTTTATTTCTTCGGGAAGCTTGGAAACTCCTCCTGGATTGCTTGCAATAGGATCAATGCCCACGGTGCTGGCTGGATTTACCTTTGCCGGATTCTGCAGGCCTCTAACAGTGCTTTTTTGAACCCATCTGTATCTCCTTTCTTGTCCTGCCTGTCTTTTTCTTTGCTTCTTGTCTGTTTCTTCTTGAGCAAATATTTATTGCTCTTGTTGCATCTGGTCCTTGCTTATCCATCGACTTCCGGACGTATATCGCTGCATTATCGTTATGAGCCCTGAAAACATGGCACAGCCTGGATTTGCTTACAACATGCCTTCCGCTACCAACAACCACTGGAACCCGCCTCGCAGGTGCGACTTGACAACTCCAGCCCAGATGAAAGAAGTATATGTGACTAACCCCGAACATAGCCTTTTCGCTGAACCATACAACGGCGGCAGACTTGCTGGGAGCCTGTATCCGATTTCTAGGTGAGACAAGACAAGACAAGCTCATCACGGGCCAGTTGACGGACGCCACGCTTACCATGATATTCTAAAGCATGAACTTCACGACCAATGCCTATCCCTGGGCTGATAGCCCTCCCGCACAATCGACTGCAAACTTTTCGAGAATCGATCCTCCAGTGTCGGCCCAGCAGTCCTATGTCCCTCGCTCTCCACCAGGGGCAAACAGTGGTTCCAATTCCATCTATCCCGGCCCGGTATATGGATCCCACAAGCGCAGCAGATCATCTGCTTGGGATGGACAGAGCAGATATTCACCCACAGGCTCAGTCGATGATATCATTGCCTCGCCAAGCCTGTCTGATTACTCCTTGGACAACGGCCTAGACTTTGGCGTCCCTAGCAACAAACCAAAGCAACAAAACAACAAGGCTCGGTCGCAGCGACGGCCGTCGAATCGAGACGAATTTGATGGCCCTCATCAATTCCTACAGCGCCCGCCCCCGGACGTTATTGCCATGCAGGAGAGAGAACTCCCGCATCTGCCAACCAACCTTCACGTCCAGGAACAAGACAACGTTCTTAACCAGGTTAATGACCGGCTGTCGCAGTGCGCCTACGATTTCGTGGCCAAATACCAGTTTCCAATCCCGCTTACTCAAGACATGAGGCCCGTAGAGAGGCCACAAGATCGAGAGTGGACCGAGTGGGTTTACCTCTTGAAGAGACTTGCCACCAAGCGACGCATTCCCGCTCGAGTGCTATATAACGGACAAATCAAACAGTTTGTCACAATCCTTGAAAACTCACTAGAGATGCGGCATGCTGCCAAGCATCAGAGCCGCCCTCTGAAAGATGATCGCAACATCCTCCAGCTCATTTCTGCTGGTATTCAGGTGGCTAAAATCCTGAAAGATGCGTCGGCGATGGACTATCTCGACCGACTATACGTTTCCACGGAGAAGCAGATACAGGAGCGTGCCAATGCACGATTCCGATCTTAAAACTTCTTCGTCCCATCTACACCAGTCTCTTTTTTGGCATTAATGATCACGTTTATTATGAGACTGCAAAATTTGAAAATGACTGATGATTTTTTTTTACGTTTTCCGTTCAACATGAAAAGAGGACATGGGAGAATATCAATATTTGTGTGCGTTATTAAGCTCCCTTTGCCCTCTTCTTACATCTATCCATGCATGACTAACAAATTGGGTTCAGTTTATAACATCTATTCATGCTACGCCATTACTAATGGTAATGACGACACGTAAACAAAAAAAGTTCGCTCCATGGCAGCCTGCTTGAGCAATGTAAAATGGCGGGCTGTAATGGGGACTCTGATGTTTTCTGTTCTTTCTGGTTCTTCTGTTTATACTATTATACTCCTCCGATTATGGCCCGCGTCATGGTGGCCCTTGCATTTGGAAGCTACAGGACATTCATTTTCAGTCGTCAGCAGCAAGCTGTATAACTATACTTGGCCTTGATAACGCATCAGCTATCTTTCAATTGACCAATCGGCATGAGATCCCAATAACATACTATTGCATTACTTGTATTAAGTATCTTGGTAATCAACCTCTCAACTACTACATACCACCTGCTGCAACTTTCAAGGAGGAATTTGGGAGAGCATATCACTTTAAGGGGAAAGGAGCGAGGAAGGGATGGGGAAGGGATGGGGAATGGAGTCATACGAGGCAGCTGTGTCATTGCCATGAGCGGCGATTGGACTAGCATACTATGTACCGCGTGAATTCTATGAGGATGACGACAGGCATAACCAATGAGAGTGTGCAATTGAGGATGAATTTTGGAAAATGAATAATTGAGGATAGTTGCATTGTAGGGCAACTGGCAATGTTTGTGCTGCCTCATGCATAATGTGCTCACACAAGTTGACTGTATAAAGTAAAGATCTGTGTATATGTAGGTATTGTGAGTTTGGCTGCTGCACCGGGATGCATTTGCGATGTAATCATGTGTTGCAGCATTCTGATGGATTTGCTGCTGAGCTATGGGACTAGGTAATATCTGATGGGCATTTAGGATGCAGATGCCTTTTCTCATTTGCGGGTGAATTATAGCCTGAGTTGGGGCAAACTGGTATATCACGATAGTGTACATGTCCGTGGTCCAGACGCAACAGGGCGGTGCTGATGTGGGCAACAAAGGCGATGGCCTTGAATAAGTCTCAACATAAAAATAGGATTCTGAGCGTGGCACGATGTTCTATAGTGATACTTTGATATGAGAGGAAATGTACCTCGGAATCTCGAGGCTGAATGGTAGTGCGAGGCTGGCGGCGCAGCTCGGTGTCTGGATTGGATGTCGGTAATCGCTGCCATGTATGGTGTCGAGTACGAGGATAACGTTATAGACGGAATAACTGCTATATGAGCCTTCCATGTACCCCTTGAATGAGTAACTTGTATCTGAATGTCTCTTTTTTCTCTCTCTGTATATAGTAATTTGAAGCAGTCATGATATGCCAACTTCAAAGAGCATCGTTTTACTGCTACAAGATAGGTAAACGTACGTGGAATCTGCTTGGATAAAATACACATGCCCAAATCCCCAATCGGGACCAGCCAATGCATGTGCTTCAGCCCAGGCCTGTGAATGGCTGGATCGCAACTCACGCAGCCGGCCCCATCAGAGACCGCCAATGACGGTGCCGCTGCCGATTGATAGCAAGGTGGTTCGGTGTTCTATTCCGGCTTAGCGGCGGATGCTGGAGTCGCCGCAGCGATTCAACGGCATCAGCTACGGCGACCGTCAGCTCGGATTTGCGACCGAACGGCTTGGTCTTTTTTTTTCTTAAAAAATCATTGGGTTTTATTGTGCTGATGTTGGTTTTGTTTTCTGGCATATTGGCTCGATAGCGGGAATAGATGGGGTGATATTTGCTGGTCAAGGTCGCTGCTACTGCCGCTGTACAATACATGTACCTACACCAGCGGCGCACTGAGAACGACTTGGCGCAAGGACGTTGAAATCGACTAGGAACTCGGCAGCTGTCAACAGATTCGAGCAGTCCAAGCTCCGGAACAGATTTCTTGACTTCATTTATTGGCCGTGGCAGGCATAGCTGAAAGTTCATCCGCCATGGCTTCAGTAACTTCTCAAAACGCATCCCCGCACTCTACTTCCCTCTACGACCTCGAGTCTACTGGCGACACCGACGAATCATGGCAATACATTGATTACTCGAGCGGCGCATCCGTCACAGGGTCGATAGGATTCCTTCCCAGCCCGGCAAGCGGCAGTTTGAACGGCTTTGCCATCGTCGGCCATGTTTCTACACCATCTCAGGGCGGGCTCTCGCCTGGTTCTGTCGTCGACATGGACCCTGCAGTCTTTCTCCCAGCCAGCACCACGTACCAGCAGGATACTGAGTTTATAACCTCTGATCTTTTCCCGAGTACTGTCGAGGCACCTCCCGGCAGTGTGAACGCGGCGTTTCCGCAGAACGATGCGTTCTTGACGCCGCAGCAGTATCTGTTTATGCCGTCTGGGTCATCGGACTTCCAGCCGCAGGATCTTAATGGTGGGTTTGTTTGTTTATATCTGGAAATTCATTGATGTTGATTGCGATGTAGATATTACAACACCCTTTTTGAACGACTTCCAAACCGATCCGTTTTCTATAATACAGGCAAGTCGGGTACAACAGCCTCTGCCTCAGCGAAATGCGCTCCAGTCACTCCCCTCGGACCCCAGCCTATCATCATGGCACCAGACGAGTCCCAGCATTGCTTCCGAAAGCAAGTTTGTGTTTGAAGACATGATCTCTTCGCCGGCCAGTCAACTAAGCTTCGCTTCATCCTCGAGCCCGAAATCGCCTGCCGTCAAATCCGAGGGGAGCGGCAAATTAGGAAAGACGATGCGCAAAGTGATTGGCGGCAAAGTCGAGAAAAACAAGAGCGAGTCCCCCAGCAAGTTTGTAATTATGACGCCGACGACAATCAATGCCCGTGCTGGCAAGCCGAACCCTTTTGAGTGTTTCGAGGCCATGAGGACGACACAAAAGGGCCGGAAAGGGCCCCTGGCGAATGAGACGAAAGAGAGCGCACTGCAGGTTCGAAGAGTGGGCGCGTGCTTCTGCTGTCACAGCCGCAAAGTCAAGTGTGATAAGGAGAGGCCGTGTAAGCACTGCAAAAAGCTTATGCTTTCGGTTCCGCAGGTGGTGTGTTGGCAGTTCCAGGACTTTCTGCCGGTGCTGTTTCCCGACTTCATTCGGGGTCACTTTAAGAGGGATGCCATGACTAGCTTCATCACCGAGAATGTGGAGGGCTTCACAGTGAACGGGTCCGAACGACTCTGTAGCGTTGAGCTCTCTTCAGGCCCTCGGTTTGCGACTACACTGACACTTCAAGCCAAATTCTTCACGGCCAAGACGTGCGATGTGTTACAACACTGGCATCTGAGCAATGAGAAGAATCAGGTTGATCTCCAGTCCCAGGGATCGGCTCCCATTGGTATCGAGTTCAACAAGGGCCCTCAAAAAGACGAAATGAAGAAGTTGACCAAGGGATACATTCAAGCACTGGTGAATGAGCCGTTGCTGGCAGATCAGTTGACGGATTCGTTCAGGTCCACCAGGCTTCCTAACAAGATTCTTGCGATTGTGCAAAACTTTGCAAAACAGTCAGATGTAAGTCGAATGATGATATGCGAGACAGGCGACGAGAAGAAATAGCTAATTAAAACACAGTCGACAATGGTTAAACGCGCTCTTTCAATCTATACCATGCATTATGTCATGACACGGCATCTCTGCCTAACCCGTCAGTCCATCCTCGCCCTGCAGCCAACGGGACTTGTACCTCAGAACACTCCATGGGTCACTCCCCGAGTGCTCGCCCGGCAAATCAAGTCCCTAGTCGACGAGCTCATCCTGCGCGATATGCAGACTCTCTTTGAGCTCTTCTCCAAGTCACTTAAACCGAAGCTCCGACGAGAATGGGCACCGTGTCTTGCATCCTTCTTAGTCCTGTGCCTGTTCATGGAAGCTGTTGAGACGGCCGCAGACAACTTTGTTGTAACACAGAATGAGATTGATTTGAGGAACAAGTATTCGCCCAAATACAAGCGATCGCTTGCGCAAGATACCTGCAAGGAGCTGGAGAACATGCCGTTCAAGCAGTTTGCGTATCAATTCCACCACCTCTATCAGACCCATACAAAGGATGCAAACACAAGGAGCTTCAACCCTCTATTTGACGATGCCTTTCTCGAACAGGGTGAACTTGACCCCCCGGCGGTGGAAATGGTGCAGAACCTGAGAGAGCTTTTCCACGGAGAAGACTGTGAGTTTTTCCTACCATCTGCTTGGTTACCCTAATACATAGAATACTGATGGGCGGAATAGGGCAAGACATGCAGTTTCTCGCTGATGATGAGCTCTTGCTCCATAGAGAGGAGCATCCATATCCTATGGACACATCGTTCCTTTATACAGGGCGTCTGGTGGCCAAGTTTTTGCTATCATTTACTAACGAAAGCGTAATCTTTGCAAGCAAGATATGATCTGATTTCTTTTGCTTTTCAAGACTTATCTTCCCCCCCTTTTTTGTTTAAAGAGCTAGATAATGGGCACTTGGATGATACAGTGCAAGCGGCGCCAGAGCATTCGGGTTATATGGAGTTTTGTTGGACTTTGTATGATTACGTGAAACATGTATAAGCACATACGCTGTGATAGAGCAGGCAGTTTCAAAGTATGCAGTCACGGCGAGCTCACAGATACACGCTATAGCAATGATATGTTTGTCTGGTTTTAGTCCCGATGCCACACATTTTTCTCAATGGCATCAGGGTGGAACAGACTGGTTGTCTAGACCGCTGGTTTCATCTCCCACATCGAACGATAAAAAAAGTAGTTGACACGCTTGCGCATTGAAAAGCGGCGAGGTGTAGGCAAATCGTGGGTATCGCATCAACAAAAAACAAGAGCACGGCAGAGGTGCATCCTTTCCCAAAACTTACCAATCTGAACTCGGGCGTTGATGATATCTGCCTAACCTAGGCAAAGGTAGAAGACAGAAGAAGCCATGAGATCATTGTGCAGTCGAGAATAGCCGCCATCGCGGTAATCCTCGAGCTTTTTTTTTTTCTGCCTGCATCGTAGCATGTGCCAGTGCTGATGGAAGGTTGAGAAAATTTGTGATTGCTTGGAAAAGCGGAGCGTTTTTATGACGAGAGGAAAAAAAGCTCAGAGACCCTGATCTGTCACGTGATGGTCATGAATTTTGCGTCTGCTAGCTGAGTTTATACCTGCGGGCCGTCGCGTGCCTCGTTTTTGACTTTTTTTTCTTTCCTTTCTTCGATACACTTTTTTGCACGATTAATCAACCTAGAGCGATTCATTTACTTGCTTTGGGTCATATTTGCGTGCTAGATGGAAATGGATTCTTCTTCTGCCTTTTAAAACATGGCGGCAAGCTACGACTATTTTTCTCGTCTTGCCGTTTTGGTGGTTCTTCCCACATGCTCATCCGTAGCACTACTACCTACCTTAGTAGTCTGTATTGCTTCCCAAGCTCTGACTGATTTGTTCGATCTTCTGCGTCTTCCATCCGCAAAAGAAGCCTCTTCCGGGACTCATTTGGATGGATGAGGGGAAATGCCTGCTCTGCAACTATCCCTGCGTTTGACACATGATAAAAACCTGCTGTTTTTCTGCGTAAAACCCACCGCTGCCCAAAGGCGCCGCTGCAGAAATTCGAATGCAAGCGTTTAATTAGCCCGTCTGCATCCTGACGACGGCCGAGGCGCCGGCCAGAGGTTAACGGCTGCATGAGGGTCGCGTGGACAGTTGTCGCTTCTTGTCCTTTGGGCCGCGATGCGAACGTCTGGCAGGCAAAAGAGGGCACGAATCTGCAAGCCCCATCCCCAATCCCATCCCATGCATGGGTCCCCGCCGCAGACGGCCATTATTCACTCATTTGCTGCCCGCCGCATCACATCACGGGCTCGACGGACGTGCCACTCACTTGCCTGTCTGTGCTGTCCGCTGTGCTGTGCTGTCCGCTGTGCTGGGTTGGGCTGTGCCGTGCGATGGATGCGGTGCCGCGGTGGTGCGCTGTCTGCAGCTAGCAGTAGCTCGTTGGTCGTGGAGATGTTCCCCAGTTTGCGTCAAACGGGCGGTGGTGAGAAAACCGCCCTCGCATCCCTAGGCCCTACCGTAAACATCGGCCGTCCTATATATAAATACCACGTATAAACCGGCCTCATTCTCGTGCATATCTCTCTGCACCTCGACGCAGTTGTCTTACGACCTCATCCTCTTTATTTTCTTACCGCCTTGTGCCCCTCCCGACACTTCCCACCCGCAGAAAGCTGATAAGCATACCGTCCCCCCCGGTTGCTCCATCTGAAGTCGTTCATGTATTACACACCGACTGTTTGGGCACCAGCGTCAGCGTCATCATCACAAGCTCCATCAACACACAAACACCACCCGCAAAATGTCTGAAGTCCAGCTCCAGCGCTCTTTGGAGGACATCAGGCTTGAGATTGTTCTTCTCGCTGCCGAAGTGTTTTTCCTCGTGTCGGTGCTTGGTGCCATTATCCTCTTCAATCTTGATCTCTACAGCCAGTCCCGGAAGCTGAGCCTAAGTGCCGAGTCGTATAAGGCTCGGCCGCACTGCTTCTCGAGAGGCCGACCTCGATACAGAGGTGCCATCTACTGAGGCAAAGACCACCACTACTTACCTCTGGATGGTTTTCTTTTTTCTTTTTTTTTTCTTTGCTCTTATTGCAATATTCGACACAACGAAGCGTTTCCCTACCCAACAGACCATCTCTTCGGGCAGCAACTGGAGAGACCAAATCGAGAAAACATTACGGAGCTATGGGAACTCCATGCATTTGACTGGCGTTTTGCAAGGGCCCTCGCATTGATAATTGGCGTTAAAATTGGCGTGTGCAAGGTTACGAAAAGAGAAAGAAAAAAACAAACAAATTCTCTCTTGCTAAAAGAGGGGATAACGAACATGAATGAAAGAAAGAAAACAAAAAAGGGATGATCAGCCCCCACAGCATATGATGTTGCCCTGGAAGCAGTTTGACAAAACCCAGGCACGAGCAATAGCGATTCGATTCGTGGAATTTATGAACCTGTTTTCGAGATATTGAGCTTTTGGTGTTCACTTGTCATGGAGCCGGCGTTCTGAGGATCGAGGTCGTTTGGATAAAAAATTGTTGTACATAGTTGTTTTAAAAAAAAACACACAATATGAAAACTAGTAAACTTCGAATTGTCGCCAGAATTTTGATGAGGCCTAGCCAGAAGCTCGTGATGCAAGCTCTATGCCTCATCAGCCGGTGCCATGCTTCTATCTCCTCGACACGTGCAATTTATACAACGCTGAGATTTTTCTTTTTACTCCCATTCCGCCATTGTCTTTTTCTTCGTCCTATCCCTTCTCAGCCGCGGCTTTCCACCTTTTTTCCCGGGTTTATTTCATGCTTATGCTGAAGGCTTCTTCAGGTCTCGGGCCGCCTGCTTCAGGTTGAAGTTGCACTCTTCGTAGGCTCGTCCAGCACCAAAGCCGGCGCCCAGGTAGGCGGGCCAGGCTCTTCGCTTAAAGAGAAGGACGGAGAAGACGACGCCGAATCCGAGGCCGAGGGTGGACTTGACGAGGAGGTTGGAGAGGCAGCGATCCCACTATTGTTTAATTCGAAGAGAGGAATGAGTTAGTAAACCAAAGAACAATTCTGCAGAATCTTGGATCTTGAAGCTCGGCTCGGTACCTTCTCGTTGAGAAGCGCTTCGCTAACAGGCCGGGAAATGGCGCTTGGGGAGCGAGGGGTGGTGGTCTCGGACATGGCGGCGGACGTTTCTGCGGTCGATGGCGTGAGAATGTTGTGCGTAGTTTGATTTGCTGCGAGGCTGTACTTACGTGCGAAGCGCAATTGACGCCAGAGAGCCAAACGGGGAGTCGTGGGAAAGGGAAGAGAAAAAAAGCTTTGGATACAGGTGATGTCAAGCTACACGAAAATCGGCCGGCCTCATCACGGACGGTCTTGGCCTCGAAGGGCGGTGAGAGGTGATTGCCGAATCGGGGTGGAGATTGCGGCAGAATTTTTAATTTTCGGAATTTTTGGAGCTGCGACAATGACGGCTGCAGCTTATACAATTTTGTCTGCCGTAAACAAATTTTCTTTTCATGAGATATTGAGATAGGTTCGGTCAATTTGAGACTGCCATCTGCCAATCATTGCCCTTTGCCCTTCTTTTTATTAATGTGTTCTTGATTTTTTTAATATCTTTTCTCATAATGGTAAGATTTTTTCACCCTTATAAATGGTCGCGCCGAGTTGAAGTCAAGCTCACATGCTCTGGGTAGGGAAAGTTGGATCTCGTCAAGATCGTACGAGGTCTTGACCAAAATGGGTCTGGCGAAAATGGGGAGAATCTCCAGAAGCTGTGGAATAACCTTACAGAGTCATCGGACCACCAATTCCACGCGGCGGAGGAGAGCGCGCTGAGATGGCTGCTCAAGTCCATGAACGGAAACTCATCAGAGGCGGAAACCATACGACGCTACCCATTGACTTGGACGATTATGGATTTTGTGTTTCAAAAGATTCCGCTCTTTTCGCTTGCCAAGTCTCTGGCGGATAGGAAATTTGTGGCTGTTCTGCAGCAAACTCTCAAAGATGCATCAAATCCAAGCGAAGATTCTAGTTCCTCTAGTTCCAAGAGGAAGAGGTCGCTGGCGCCGCGCTACGCCTTGGACGAATTGAAAGGCTTGGATGGCTGCTTGGCAACTGGTCAAGCCGTCTTTATTGCTCTGAAATCTCTGCTTGGGCGATTGGGAAACAACACTGTTGGATCACGCGACAGGATTGGAGCCGAACACATCAAATCTCTCTTCAGCACATCTGCTCTCGAAGCTGCGACATTGGCGTCTTCCTTCTTCATAGTCTGCCTTTTACTACTGGCCAGCGATATCTGTGACGAGGTCGAAGGCAAAGAGGAGTGGATCGTAACCGTCTCGAGGATATGGGATCTTCATTTACAAGGAGACGAGGACGCTCTGGAGATTGCAATTCATCTCTTTAGACCAGCGTCTGCAATCTTGAAAAAGGTAGAGCCTTCCATCCAAGGCCAAAGTCTTACCATCAATGAAGCCCTGGCCACTCGATGGAGTGCAGATCTTCAGAGATTTATGCACCGGAATTTCATCCTCCCCGCTCGGACATATTTCTGGAATCGACAGGACTTTGAGATCATCATGAAGGCGCTCGATGTATCAAATGATGCGACCAGAACTTCTGCTCCGGTACTATATTTCTTGGCTGCCGGGATTTCTGACACTTTGAGTGAAAGCGATATGCGCAGGATCAATACAATGTGGATGGACCGGATATTCAAAGCTGTGGAGCAACAAATTCGTCCCAAGGCAGACCGGAATACTTTGATGAAGCAGGTGTTAGCACAGGCCATTGGGAAGTCGCTGTCTATTGATGCAGGAGATTTGCGTCAAGTATGCCGCGATTATGGCCTGGGATCGGAAATCGATTGGAGCCTACTTGCGAATGCTGCTACATGCAACCCGGATATCTTCCAAATGTCTGAAGAAGGCACCGCGCTTTTGAATGAGATTTGTGTACAAAGTATTGGTCAAGCATCTGATTCAGATAGCCACAAAGATCAACTGGACCTCATATCTGCCATAAAGAAAAGCTTCCAGACTCGTCGAGATCTCTCTGGATTTTTGCGACTATGGTTTACTCAACTCTGTCTGGCTGAGAAACAAAAGATGGTCTCTAGCAGCCCTTGGTTCGATATTGGACGGAAAGCAGAAGAGCGAAAGTCGATTTCATCTTCAATAGAGTCCGAACTATCACCGCAGCAGCTTGTTGTTCTCATCGAGTGGCTGAAGGAACAAGAGTCCAGCTCGTACCCCCAGTCTCTTTGTGTCTTCGCGAGTATCATTGCGGAAGGCTTGCATGGAGAGGCATTTATTGATGCAGTCGGCTTGAAGCTTTTCGACCTAGTTTCTCCGCTAAAAAGCTCCTCAAAGTCTGCTTTGAAATGGAGAGTTGTGTCCAAGACAATCTCATCAGCCTCACCCGAAGAGCGGAACAATGTCTGGGCGCAAGTGAAGGATCAGATATCAAAACCTCTCAAAAAAGGGACTGTCAAGTCAGCTGAAACGTTCGAAGCTCTCAAGTGCTGCTACCAAGCCTGGGATTCGATGAGCCAAGATGAAGAGTCTGCTAATGAGCCAGCCAAGCTGATAAAGAAATTCACGCAACGCCTCGTCGAAGAACTAGCGTCGTACGATATTTTGGAATTCGCGAAATTATCTTCTTGTCTCGACTTGGAGGTGGCGTCGAGATTTGACGAGGATTTTTCATTACAACAGTACTTGGCTTGGTATATTCAGGGCTCCAGTCGCTTCTACCGGCTGTACTTTAGAAAAGCAGGAGACATCCCTTTGCTTGACGCGGTATCTTTCACAAAGAATGCCAGTCCTCCTGGATTGCATGCGCTGTGGAGTGCGCTTCTAAGCAATGACACCAATCTTAATGACCCGAAGCTTTCGAGAAAGCTTGTAGACCGGTTAATTACAGCACTATCCGAATCCGAGAAGGAGAAGGGGTGGCCGGGAGAGTATGGGCAGCTTTGGATCCGGACACTATGCAGCGTACCATCTGAAGCTTTTAGCCGTACACAACGCGAGCAGATTATGAGTATCTTGGACAAAAGGAGAGAAAAGATGGTCAAATCTCCGAAGCGGGTGTCTTTGGAAGGCTGGAAGCTGGTTCTCGATCTGACGGCCAAGATGATGGCGCGGCCAACTTTCAACGAAGAGATGCAGTTCTCCAATCTTGTTGATTTTGCCAATGCCATTTCGAGTCTCTCATTTGAAGAGACGCTGGATGATGAGACGCTGCTTGAACTTGTCGAGAGATATTTTGCCATGTCAGCAACGATTATCAGGCAAATGTCGGATAATTTCGATGAGCGAAGCACGAAATACTTCTCAGAGAGCCTCAAGTTCATTGAAACATGTGCGGCAGCAGAGGCGAAAAGTGACCCATTTAGTCTTCCTTCGCTATATGTTACCTTATTAAAGGCGCTTGTTGTTGAGCTTGGCCGATCATCAGCTCTTCAGAGCCAATCTAGCCTCAGCCAGCTGCAGCAGAATGCGAAGAACGCCTTGACCCAGCACGTTGCAGCAGTCCTAGGAGAGTTCATTGGAAACAAGAAACTTCTGTCAAAACACGATCAATCAAAAGATCTGGCCCTTATTGCAGCAGTACATGCAGCAGAAGCTATGGATAGTACCGCCGCGATTTCACAGAATAAGTCATCGGCCGTTCAAAAGCTTGAGAAGCGGAGCAAGGAGGCCATGATCACTGGAGACTTGAGAGCATGGAAGATCCAGATCTTCCTTCATACATATCTTCCGAGCGAGTTGGAGGAGCCTCACCCGACTCAATTTACTGCCCTAGCAAACCTACCGCCAAGAACCCGCGAGCCTCTTTTAAGGGAATACGTTGCGTCTATAATTGCCAAAGCTAGCGTGCCTGAGGTGTCACGCTACCTTCAAATGTTGATTGGCGAATTTACGGAGGGCTGCGATACTGATGGCCAGGCTCTTGCCATTGGCCACGTCGTTGGTCACCTCGTCGGTATGTCTTGTGAAAAATATGTTGGAAAGAATTGGGCTAACGTATGTACACCAGAACGCACTGATCTACATGGTAAAAGCGAAGGTGTCGATCTATCGGCAGCCCATAGCGAGCTAACACTTAGCTTGTTAAAGCAATCGCCAAACACAACTTATATATGCCAGACTATCCAGACGCTTCTTGAAAAGAAGCCGCAGGCCATGGGACAGTGGAATATCGAAGTAACCTTGACTACGGTCAACGACTTGGCTTCGACAAAGCCTACAAATGGCCCAACAGTGTCGTTTACCTGGCTATGCAAATTAATCGGAACAGTTATCAAAAAGCACCGCTTACGATTGGAAGGCCACCACCACTTGCTACTGACGACTGTGCAAGCTTTGCTTAACAACCTAATCATCCACCAACCAAAGAGCGCTGGAGACGGCACAACGCAAGAGTCAATGGCCCGTCTGTACGGCCGGCTCATTACCTTTATCTGCGAACCTACCGCAGGAGCCGTTTCCCGTTCACAGCATCAGAACGCCTTGGACTCGGCAACAGATGCAGCCAAGCGTTCTGCCGGGTGGCACGTTTACATGGTGTTGATGCAGTACGTGAAGCTGCAGCTTGAGGCCGATGTCCCGAGGGAGGTTCGTGAGGCTCTTGAGCCGGCGATGAATTCTATTTTCGACGTGACGCCGCCTGAGGTGAGGAAGATTCTTAATGACGCCATGGATGCTAGCGGAAGAGCTATCCTGAGAGAGATGTTCAAGAGATATGTCAAGTTTGGAAAATGGAGTGGTGTATAATGTGCTGGAAATATAGTATATAGGTGGAATTAGCTACTATTAGGATATAGGTCTAGACATTACAATTGTATATATGCATACATACAACTCGCGTAGACATTTCTACCTATATTATCAAATCATGCGAAAAGAGGATAACAACGAAAATTGCTTTACGCTTGACGCTCCTGACCTTCCTGCTTAGCCTTGCTGGGGTGACCATGCGTCTTACCATACTTTCGTATCTTTCCATGCAGATCAGGCTGAATAAATATCCAAAGAAAGCTAACAATCCATGACATGATGGTATCAACAAACCAGTTATTGCGGAACGAACCACCCAACATTCCCCATTTCATAAGCGCACCAAGCCATGCCACAGTAACAAAATATTCACCCCGCTCTAGCCCCTTGATTGCAGAGTCTGCGACTTCATCAGGAGTCTGCTGGGGGTCGCTAGATTCCAGGATTCTCGTAATCTCAGGTGTGGTGAGAATCTCGCGGGCATATCCAGGCGAAAGAATAGTTCCAGGGAACACCATGTGGACTTTGACGTTCTGCGGGTACATCATCACCTCCTGGGATATGGTATCCGCCAAGCCTCGCATAGCCCACTTGGAAGGCGAGTATGGCGCGTAGCCAGGGATGGTATACAGCGCCAGGACACTGCCAGTCATGATGAGATGCTTGGCCTCCTTCTCCACGGGAGCGTCAACTGCCAGCCATTCCTTGAGGATGGAGTGGGACATTTCGGCTGTGCCGTAGAAGTTGACGTCCATCTGGCGGCGCAGAGAGGACATGTCCATGTCGACGAACAGCTCTGGAGTGGACATTCCGGCGATGCACCAGACAATGTCGGGAGGATTGCCATTGTTCCATTCCCGGACCTCAGCGAGGAGAGGAGTAGCGTAAGATGGCGCAGAGACATCGGCGACGATGTAGTGGAATCGCTGCTTATCCTTGTTTATGGCGGCAGCCTAGAAAGATTGTGTCAGTGGAACGATATATATATGGCAATGCAGAAATTACATACCTCGACGATTTTGAGAGCGTCTTGGAGCTTATCGACGCTGCGAGAAACAAGGACAACGTTGGCGCCCTTGAAGGACAGCAGCTTCGCGACTGATAGGCCCATGCCCTCTGAGGCTCCTGTGATGAGGACGGTCTGCATCAAGGCTCAGGTATTCATCATTAGCAATGCTATTTCATTACTCTCCATCACATAAAGTTCATCAAAAAAGAGAGACAAAAAAACTGGATGCTGACCTTGCCCTCAACAGGCATCTGGTTTCCGCCGAAAAGCCCCATGATGGTGACGATGCCAATGGCAATGGTTATACTAGCAGGCAAGATCCAGACCAACTGATTCAGCAGGCCGTCTGCGGGCATGACCCGACGCTGTGAGGAGATGAAAGAGATGAAAAAGAGTTTAAAGAGAGTGTTGATGCTATTTTGCAAAGTTGATGAGAAATTGACAGCTCAATTACCACGCGTTGGCCAGTAAGCGTGTTTCAAGCGCCCCGATTAATGCTGTTGCTGGCGCTGACGATGCAGTTTAATGGAGGTTTTTAGTGTTTTGGTCGTGGCCCGATGCTGCTATGGTTCTGGTGGGCCCAATCGCTGTAGCTACGATTTAGGCGTTGAAAGCACCGCACAATGCGTTATAACGCCCAACCTCGTAGCACTATCACGTGCCGTGGTCGCGGATCGATACGCGGCATCAAGTACGAAGCTTGAAGTATCTTTGCATACCTGATTTAAGCTTCTTATTCCTGAACACTCGAACCGATTTCATTCGACATTACATTGGCGCAGCGGCCAGCATCTCATTTACTCACATGCGGAGAGACTCATAAGCCGACAGTTGTGCTTGCATTGGATAAGCATCATGTTGATTTTTGACAAACCAAGCTGAGCTTCATCAAAGATGGCCTCACGAGACGGGCAGGACATCCAGCTCAGCGTGCCAAAATTCTCCTCTTTCAAATCGAAAGAACCCAGCAAAGAGGAACCCCCAAAACTGGACAGGCATCATGAAATACGCCACAAGAGGCAGAGCCGTGATGATGAGAAATCAAGCAGTCGCCGGGCTGACGAGGACCGTGGCTCCAGACGCAGTCGCCAGGAGCCTCGTCGCCACAGAGATCGTGACCGTGAACGTCGAAGATCTCGAAGCCGTGGGAGAGCTGCGAATCGGATAGAAAAGCCGAAGCCTGCTCCTAAGTTGGAGGGCGTACCGGGTCTTTTCATGATCGATACAAAAGGTGACCCCCTGATTATAAAATACGGGGGTCTTGACAAATCTCAGATACCAGCCTATCGTCGCCACGGGGGCGGCAGGGTCCTTGGTACGGTTGGACGCCTAGTAATACACCGTGATGGGCCAAGAAATCAATTTAGTCTTCGCATGCCCGGCGAAGGATTTTCTACTTTTGCAGGCCGAGACGGGCTTCGATCAAAGTTGCCAAAGGTGACATCCAGGCCAATCAGGGCGTCTTCCCGGAATGCAAATGTTGATGCCATAGACGAAGCCGACGGATACATACCAATAAGCTCATCTAGAAAACGGAAGCGAGATCAAGCGGGTGACCAATCCTCGGGTGATGAACAGCCCTCATATCGGTCTATTGAAGGCAAAGCAAAGCCGCGACAATACTCAGACAGTGACTCTGATGAAGATTCCGACATGTCCACCGACATGCTCGCCACAGTCCAAAACAATCCACTTAAACAGGAATCCATCCGGCTAAGCAAACGAGTAAAGGATTCTCCAGACGACATCGATGCTTGGCTTGAGCTTGTAGATCATCAAGACGCCTTGCTGAGGGCTGGTGAAGATTTTGATCATACGGTATTAGAAAACGAAGCCCATAGCTTCGCAGAGATCAAAGTATCCATGCTTGAATCGGCTCTCGAAAACGCCAAAAATGCGGAAGATCGCAGACGCATTCTTGTTCCTTTGATGCGAGAGGGCGTCAAGGTGTGGACTAGCAAAGCAGCTGCTAAGAAATGGTCAGAAGTATTAGAACATGGAGATGGCGATTTTCTTCTGTGGAAAACACATGTCGACTTTTTGACTTCGAATATTGCAACATTTCAATACGAAGATGTCAAAAAAGTGCTTCTAGACCGTTTACGCTTCGCTTTGTCTCGTCTTGCATCAGATCAGCCAGAAGAAGCCATAGTAGAAGCCATATTTGTCTTTTTGAGGGTTACTCGCTTCGTTCACGATGCCGGCTACAAAGAGCTTGCTGTAGCAGCTTGGCAGGGTCTCTTGGAACTCAACCTCTTTAGGCCACTTTCCATCGAGGACGAACAATCTGCCCTGGAATCTTTTAATGATTTTTGGGAAAGCGAAGTTCCTCGCATAGGAGACATCGGCGCTAAGGGGTTTCAACATTACGTCGAAACCGAGGGCACCGGAGAGGCGGCAGAGCCGGTAAAGGCAAGCTCAATTGGCTCGCCTTCGTCGCGAGACGTCTATAAAGCTTGGGCTTACCTAGAGCAATCTCATTCGCAAGAGGCTAATATGCCGGCGAGAACAATGGACGATGGGACCGACGATGATCCGTTTAGAGTTGTGATGTACTCTGATATCAGGCCCTTTCTCTTTTTGATACCAGCATCCCTTCTACCCGCGGTTTCAAGCCAGCTGATTGATGCGTTTTTGCTCTTTACTGGCTACCCGCCGGCGTTTAGAGCGAGCAATTGGACTGAGGTAGCTTATGATGACCAGTTTATATCATCCTCCCTCATCAAAATTGACTTGGAGCCGGTCAAGCATAACGATGATCCAGACAATTGGCAGAGAGTCGAACCACGGTTTGATACGGGCGTAAAGGCGGCCGCCTCTCCTTCTTTACTATTTAGTGGCTTGAGGTGGTATCGATATATTGCCACAAAGTCGCACAACTCTGTTATGAATCCAGCTTGGGTATCAGAGGCACTGAAGCAGCTCGTCCACAGCGGCGGAATGGAAGAGCTGGCTCAGTATTACCTAGCGGTAGCCTTTTCCAATGAGCCTACCAACATCAAAAGGCCTGCTAAAGCACTTCTCAAACAATATCCTACTAATTCCGAGCTATATAATGCCTATGCCCTTTGCGAGTTCGCCAATGATCCCAACGTGGCGGGCAAAGTGCTGAGAGCCGCAATTGAATCACCTTCGGTAAGTATTGAGCTGTTGAAATATTTTGATAAAGAATAAGTCAGCTGATTCAGCCTTTAGCTATCCGAAAAATGGTATAAGTTCATGTTTTATAGGACTTGGGCATGGATGGAATTTGAAAACGGAAACGTCGACTTGGCAAAGGTGCGGCTCTGTTCATCGGTGGACGACACCCTGAAAGTGATAGGGACGGATGTTCCTGAAGTTGGCAGTACTATACTTCTCAAAGCCCATCAAACATTTACCTCGGATTTTCACCAATATCTTACCGATGGAGATTCAGCAGGAGCAAGCACACTTGCGGAATGCATGATTTTGCTGTCGTACTTCACAGCTTCAGGGAATGAAGAACCAACATCAGCATCGCAAGGCAATATTGCAGCAGCAATGAACACAGTTGACGTGATTTCTCGAGAATTCCAGTCTCAAGATCAAGTCGGTGCCAAAGCCCACGAACAGATTTTTCAATTTGCTACACATATTTTATACCTACATGCATCAAAAGGGTGAGTCGTCGTCTACAGCTTTAGTGCAAGATGTCTTCGAGATATGAAGCTAACTGCCACAAATAGGCCCTTTAGGAGAGTATACCTACGGGAGAGGCTCTCAGCTTTCATTCACCAGTTTCCGCAGAACACAATTTTTATATCCATGTTTGAGTGGGCAGATGCGAGCCTCCGTGTCATTGATGAGACGCGTGATCTCTTATACGACCAGGTTTTAGTGAAAAAGCATGACTGCATTAGCAGCCGCATGTTTATCATTCAACACGAGCTTACACACGGCAACACCAACACGGCCAAGGCTGCATTTGAACAGGCTCTGACGAGCGATGTTTGCCAGAATAGTTTCGTGTTGTGGATATCTTACATTCGCTTCTGTCAGGCTCAGAAGCAGCTACGTGCCAAGGCAAAGGATGTGTTTTACAGGGCTCTGAGGCACTGCCCTGGGTCGAAGGAAGTGATCATGGAAGCTTTCCTGACACTGATTCGCGATATGGAATCAGATGAACTCAAGGCGGTGTACAATACGATGACGTCGAAGGGAACGAGGGTTCACGTCGACATGGAAGAATTTCTCGATAAGCGCAGGCTTGAATTGTCGAAAGAGAAGAGAAGATAAATATATGACGGGTGTGTGCTTGTATGATACCATATATAGGTTGGAATAGCATAGCATATCTGATGGTGTGTCATTTTGGGTATAAAATCTAATAACTGGTTTTCATACCGTAGATAGTTCATTGGCTCTTAGGAGTCGCAGTTGACGGACACTATCCACGCTATTTGATCCGCCATCGCCACGTCACAGCGTTGGGGCATTCTGCGTGTTATTGGCGTCGGATTTTCGACGTATATAATTCATTGATGTAACCAAATGCTATGTATAATTATTATAACTAAAATACCCAATTTTTGTAAATCTAAAGCAACTCTGAGACGCAATGACACTCACTTATCCATCGGAATAGGGGATCGTCAACCTATCAAAGCCAAAGCCCCTCAATCAGGTCAGCGGTTTTGACATGCGACTCCACCTAGTCTCTGCAGAGGGGCTTCTCCTTGGGTTATGCAGAAGCTGAGCCACAGTTTCATCTGCAGCGATTCAGCTCTTTTCTTCCTTGTTTGCGTAAGACGATTTGCGGTAAGACTGTGATACGAGTTCCAATTGTTTCGTCACTGCAGGGTAGCAAAGCTTGACCTTGGCTTTTTAGGGGAAAGTGGCCTAGAACCTCTCCTTCCTCTTGGCTTGAATTCTTAATGCCCCTGCATTTATTCTCAAAGACCTCAACTGCGATTCTCTTATGCTACAGTAAAGAAGCATCGTATCATCTCATTTCTGTATCACTATTCTCTTTAAACTCTTAAATCCACTCTTACGGGAACCCCCGCCTTCAATCTTACTCTCACTTTGACTCACGCACTCACTCTTCCTTTTTCTGCATCCACCATGGCTACTTCAGATGAGGCCGCCAACGCCTCGCTCCAGTCTGGAGGCGGTTCTGTCCCAGCCCAACGGACAATCAAAGCTCTCAGTAGCACCTCGCTCGCCTATCTAAAGCGTCTTTTCGAGTCTCACGCCACCCCTGAAGGGAAATGGACAAGTGACCAGGTCAGGGTCTTTTCGCAAAAAACCCAGGGCAATGGCACGACGCCTGCGGCTTCGGATGAGCTGCTCAATGTCCCCGATCTCGATCTCAACGCCTTCCTTGCATACATGACTTCTTCAAAGAGCGATGCCATCCTGCCGATAAAGAATGAGGACTTTTCATGGCCGCTGGCTAGCTACTACATTAGCTCCAGCCATAATACGTATCTGACGGGCAACCAGCTGTCGAGTGATAGTACCACCGGAGCTTACACCAACGTCCTGCTGCGAGGATGTCGCTGCGTCGAAATCGACGTCTGGGATGGCGATGAGAGCGACGCAGAGACATCGTCGTCAGAGAGCGAGACGAGCGACGATGAAGCAGCGGCCAAAAAAGCAGCGCTCAAAAAGCAGAAGAAGGAGAACAAGGACAAGGCAAAGTCTAGCTGGGGGAACCAGCTGAAAAGCAAGATGGAGAAGATCAACATCAGCAAGAAAATCGAAAAGATGGAAGAGAAGGCAACCGAAAAGGTGGCAGAAATTGAAGAGGCCGTTACGAGAAAGTCGGATTCACCTTCTACAGCTGAGCCGAGAGTGCTCCACGGTCACACACTCACAAAGGACGTTTCTTTCAGAGATGTTTGTGTTGCTATTCGAGAGAGCGCGTTTGTCGTCTCAGAAATGCCACTGATTGTGAGCCTGGAAGTGCACTGCAGTCCCAAGCAGCAGATTGTCATGGTGAACATCATGAAAGAGGTCTGGGATGGTCTCCTGGTAACCGATCCAGATTCCGATATCGAAGCGCTGCCCAGCCCCCACGATCTGAGACGCAAGATTCTTATCAAGACCAAGCACGTCCCGGCTGGCACGCCCCTTGATAAAGTCGACACCATACGGAGCGAACAGGTCCCAGTGCCTACCGGTGCACAGCCAAAGCCGGCCAAGACGATCCAAGAGCTCGCTCGTCTTGCAGTCTACACCCAGGGAGTGACATTCAAAAATTGGACGCAGCCGGAAGCCACCATGCCCACACACATGTTCTCGGTATCGGAGAAGAAGTTCATCGAGTACCATGAGAAACAGTGGGAGGCCCTCTTTAACCACAACAAGCACTACTTCTTGAGGGCTTACCCAGCAGGATTCCGAATTGGATCTTCCAACCTGAACCCGTCCATTTTCTGGGGTGGTGGTGCCCAGATTATTGCATTGAATTGGCAAGAAACTGACGAAGGCATGATGCTAAACGAAGGAATGTTTGTAGGAACAAGCGGCTATGTTCTAAAGCCAGAAGGTAAAAATCTCTAGCACTTTGCCTACGATTTTCGCTTGCTAACCAACATGCACTCTTAGGATACCGTCCTGCGCTCACGTCCAAGGAAAATGACGCCTCCAAATCCACCACCATCACTCGCACGCCCGTATCCCTTGCCTTCACCTTCTTTTCCGCCCAAAACATCCCCCTCCCACCGGGCGAGAAATCTGCCAAGGGTTTCAAGCCGTACGTCAAAGTCGAGCTCCACGTGGAAGGCTCCAAGAATAGCTACGCAGAGAGCGATGGGCACGTCCATGGAAGCGAGTACAAGGTCCGCACCAAGACGTACAAGGGCTGCGACATCGATCTCGGCGCGGAGAAACTTGAGTTCAAGGGCGTTCCTGGGGTGGTCGAAGAGCTTACGTTTGTGAGATTTACCATCAGAGATGATGAGATTGGCAGAGACGAACTAGCGGCGTGGGCATGTGTGCGCCTTGATCGTCTCGGCCAGGGGTATAGATTTGTGCATTTGAGGAATACAAAGGGAGCGGCAACAGACGGAGCATTGCTCGTCAAGATAGAAAGGCTTTAGTATAGACGATAGACGATCAATAGCTCAGCAACCTTCTTCTATGTCTGCTCCTTTTTGGATTTCGTGGACTCTGAGAGCAAAATTGTGTAGGAAACTGTTTTTTTGGATATTCATTCTGATGTGTGACTATTAAATCAGACTATTAAATCAACAACATCGTTTGACACTTCATTACTAATACAGTCTCAACATTAACCCAAACCACAGGACGCAGTAGCTACTGTTTAGTAGTTGTCACCGCCCTGGTTTCGGCCGCTTCCCATGTGCATCTTGTCCTTCACCTTCTCAAACAGGCCACCGGCACCGCCTTCGCGCCTGTTTCCAGAGGTGTCAGAAGAGCCGAGGCCCGAGGACTGCTGGTTTCCAGAACCATACGAATCGCCGCCATAACTAGATTCACACATGTTATTATTGTTACAGTAGCCATAGATGGGTATTGGATGAGCCATACGATTGGTCTTGGGAGCCATACGACTGGTCTTGAGTGCCATACGACTGGTCTTGGCGGCCACTGGAGCCGAGAGTAGAGTCATCAGTGCGACGAGTTCCAGAGCCGTATGTGTCACCGCCTAGACCAGTGTTGCCAGAACCGTACGAGTCATTGCCAGTGCCGTAGTTACCACTGGAGCCGAGATTGTCGTTGCCTGAGCCCAAGTTGCCCTGGCCGAAGGACTCACCCTGGCCGCTAGATCCGAACGAGGTCTCGTCGTTACGACGGTTGCCAGTGCCGTAGGTGTCTTGTCCGGATCCAAATTGATCTCCAGTGGAGCCGAAGTTGTCAGTGTTGCCACGGCCAGACTAATTAAATTATTGTCAGTGAATGTAATGCAGCGGTGTTGGGACGCCGTTGATTCTAAAATTAACATTTCACTTACGCCGTACTGCTGCTGCTGCTGCTATAGACCAGGTGAAATTGATCAGTGCTTGTCCGAGTAGTGAGAAGTATAAAGGTAGCAACTCACGTTGTCGTCGTCACGCCAAGACATGTTGATGGTATTGATTTAGTAGGGAGAATTTAGAATATTTGACTGCAGTTGTAAAGATGAGATTATGGATTTACTTCTGAGAACTTGGACTAGAGACGACTTACAGTATCTTATATACAAAGAGACGGAGGCAGCCAGCTGTGTAATGGGCCAAGTACTTTGTCTCATTCAAGCTCACCCCATTTGGATGCTCAGAATCCCCCGGAAAGCTGCCACGGCGCACGCCACCGGGTGTACGGAGAAGGCCCCCACTAGGAATTCGATCAGTAACCACCTCTCCATGGCAGAAGAGTAGGTACATGACATGGTACCGCTGCAAGGTACAATAGCAGCTGAAATCATCATGAATATCTCCAATTTCCCCAAAGCGCCCCGCCCCCGGGCCACGCCCGGCAGCCCCGATCCAGCCTCTCCTTGTCTTGCTAAGGAGCTTCCGTTCAACACATCTTGGCGCTCCAAATATAGAAAAGGTTTGTTTCCTATACAAACGACAACTTTTCTGCTGATATCCCGTTGCTTCTGGACCCAATCAGCTTTTCTTCCGTGAGATAGACCTTGTAACAACTCGACCAGCTGTCGCAGCTTAAGCTCCCCTCCATCTTGCACCCGTCATTCCGCCGACATCCAGCAAGCTTTGGATGGCAATGGGCGTGTGGCGCTCTTAGTTCCTGGTCGATGCGATTGGAAGACGCCGTCGTAATCGTCATCTGAGACAACGCTCGCAAGAGTTGGCGGCGGGGTAATAACTGGATTCACCAGCGCCTCATTTGAATACACGTCGAAAGATTTCTTCTGGTGGGCGTATCTCGCGAGCCGGCCTAGCTGCAGATCTGGAGACGCTAGCTGGCTATGACGGATGAGCCATCGCCATCCCTATCTGCATAGATCAGCTCGACAGGTATGATGCCAAGTTTTTTACTTGGAGTGGCCGCATGCAAAAGCTCCAAATTCTGGCCGGCAAGCTGGGAGCCGTTGCGCACCACGTTCATCAAGCAGTGGCTGCCACGAGCACATCCAAACAGCTAGATTGGAATGCCAATTCGCACGCAATGAGGGGCTTGCATCCAAGTGGTGTCTGTTGGCTGCATCCGTCCAGCTGCTATCCGGTTCCTCGCCAGTCTCGACACCCAAATGCCGCACTATGATGAGGCGAAGGAGGCGGGTGCTGATAGCAAAAGGAGGGGTTTGCTTTGCTTTCCGTAGAAGCTGTAAGATGACGTGAAATGGCATCATTGAAAACACCACCGTTTCTGCACCAAGACAGCAACTACTCTTTCCTGAAGCTCTTATCCTAGAGTAGACGCCCCTCGAAGCTGATTTGAGGCGAGAAGATGCGGCATTGCATCATTGCCATTCCCCGTGTTTCTATTCTGTGCTGGTATTCGTCTAGTTGTATGAGTTGCAGCCGGCTGCAGGTCATGTTCACCTATGGTCGCAGTGTCGTAATGAATGATGCTTCTCGTGCTATGTGTAGAATTGCCATCGGGATACTTGCTGAAAAGCAGAAATGTTATGGTGATAACGAACCTACTTGAATGAAGCAAGATGCGAATTTGTCCAAGGCTTGTAGTAAATCAAGATCAAATTGGCAAGACGACAGCAGTGGATTGTCTAAATGTGAATAAATTTGATTTCGAAAGAAGATTGAAAGACAAAAGCCGAGTGATGGTTCTGAATGCACCTTCCGCATTATATGCCCATCGCTGCCACTAGGAAGGCGCGAGCAGAGATGCTACAAATGGATAAACGTGCATTTTATTGAATGAGATAAACGACTAGTTTTTCTAAATATCAATAGAGCTAAGGCTAAAATGAATGAATGAGAGATTCCTGCATCTCTCTACAGCTATCAAGGTCTACAATTGGTGAGAGAAGCGATTTCGTGAGAACATGGTGGTTTCAATTCTGAAACAAACAGATGTTGCTTTGAACCAGATAATTCATCCACAGGTACAGTAGCCATCTTCTGCGCCTCTACTCTCATTCCCATACTTGAGACTACAAAACGGCCTCGAACCCAACGGCCTCGAACCGCAGTCAACCAAGTCTTTGCACACCTCATAATCACCCTCATCTCCTCTCCTCGCGCAATCGAAATGCCGGCATTCGCATCTTCCCAGAGCATATTTCGAATCCCCAGTGCTGCAGTACGGAAACTCGGGATACAATGAAAAATGCCTTTCCGTGCAATTCAAACTTTTCGCACAGTAATGATGAGGACTCTTTTGGAAGAGACAATCCGTGATCCGGGGCTGACACCCACAGGTCCCCATGCCATCGGTATCATGCTTCTCCTTTATACAGGCGTGCTCGTCGGACTCGCGGCACTGGCGGTAGGGCAAGCACATTGACCTTTTGAAACACGCCTTGGCTGAGCATTTGCACTCGCCGCGCTCGCAGGTCGGATACAGGCCTTGCGATGCGTCGCAGTCCAGCGTTACGCGGCAGTCCTCCGCCATGTCCGAGCCGCCGTCGCATGTGTCTGTGAAATTGAACCTCATGGCCGATCGAGATTGGCTTGGAGGGGAGATCTGCAAGCAGACAATCGCAGTTGAGCCTGACGTTGGTGCTGATGTTGATGTTGGTTGCGTCTCCGACTTTGGCCAAGTCGGCAGCGGAAAGCAAAGGTCGTTATTACAGCTGTGAGATGTCTTGGTACTGCGGAAAATCCCTGGTGGCTCTGGTGTTTCCACCAACGTATCCGAGGCCGTGATTGTTGGCAATGAAGTTTCGTCAGTAATCATGCCAGCAGGGAAGGAGATGATGCTGAAGGGATCCATCATGTTTATAGCTTTCAAGCGACCACGCGGAGGCGCAGCAGCCGTGTATGTCATGAACATTGCGAGGCACAAGCCTCCCAGAGCGAGACACGCTGTGTTGAAGAACATGCTATTAATTTTGACTTATGTAGTGTCCAAGTGTTGTCAACTCTAAAAAGACTTCTAAAAACCCTCGATGGAACCCATGCCAGCCTGAGGTCCTACCGACTTTAAGTGATTTGTCCAATGCAGTATATCATCGCTAAACAAATGCGCCCACATAGCAAAAACCAAGACTGTTTGCACCTGGTCACATTTTCATCCACACCGCTAAACATCAGTGATCAAGTACAGCCCACTCCAACAAGTGATAATGAAACCCATTGTCTGTGTCTCCATCGTACCATTACCCGTCAGTGATGCCTTACAGCTTGCTGCTGACCTGATCATCAGACACAATCGCACCGCTCATCATCGCTGCCTCGGGTGGTGTTGGCCTAGAGAGAAACAACTGTCTTCCGCCTTGATTCCCCCACCAAGCGACTCCAATAGCTGCTCGCTCGACATCCATTTCGCCGTTGATGAGAATATCCCAGAACCGCTTTTTGACTGGTGCCCTCAGCTTGGGATCTTCAATAGTATTTAATGTTTGTGCAGTAATGGTAAGCCATTCTTCGACCAAATGCAAGGGCAAAAATGGCAGCGTATCAATCAGGGCCATGGTTAGTGTGCTCTGCTCTGAGCAAGGTTCTGGAGGCTCCTGAGCCAAGTCCTCTGGCGACGTAGCGTCCAGTGAGACAGCATCCGGGGTTTGGGGCAAAAGTGCCGTGTTCGCCGTAGGAATGGATGCACGAAGCATTTCAAGGAGAGTTTCTGAGAGATGAGGTTCCACCGCGGCGATGGGGAATGGCGGGGAGACGGTTTGCATGACGGTCTTGTAAGCAACTCGGAACTGACGTGGGGAGATTTGTAGAGGAAATGATTCAAAGAGCTTGACAATGTAGAAGGGAGTGATGCTGATGGTGAGTGGGCCGTGTTGTGGGCAGGACAGGACGGAAAGAATGGCGCTATGAGAAGACTCAAAAAGTTCGACTATAGAGGGAGTCATGGGACCATCATGGGAGAGATATGAGGTTGCGGGCTTGATAATTAAAGCTTCGCAAGCATCCGTAGACAGCACCAAGGGCAGGTGCTCCGCAAGGTTCAAGTAAAACAGGTCCAGTGTCCTCGAGAGACACGTAACCGGGGCCGCCGGAGTCTCAACGGGTCGTATCTCCTTGAGCAACACCTCACACGCATGCGCATTTCGGGAAAGAGTATCGATGGATGTTAGGTAGGTGAAATTATACACCTGGAAAGCACTGTTGTTGTTCCGGCTGGATATAAAGTAAAAGTTTCGAAGGATATGCAATGATTTAATCGCAGTTTCCGAGGCCGTCATGACGTTCAGCATGCGATGATCTAGCAGACTGCGAGAAACAATAGCCTGGAGGACAGCCACGGCGCCAAACAGCAGCTTACGCAGGACCTGCCACAGCACCGGCCACGTCTTCTGGTAGGTCTCGAGGCTTAGCCTGTTGGCTTCGAATGCCGGGTCGACATCATTGAATCTGTTCAACCTCCAAGCATCCAGCACCTGGCGTGAGAACAACAACAGCGCATCCAGTGCTGCCAAAACAGCAACGGTATCTGTCGCATGCAGTGCTGCGTAGGCGGCGAGTTTTGAGAGGGGGCCTATGTTTCCCATCAGGGGACGCTGGTCCATAGCTTGTAACAGGCCGAATGAAGGCGTTTGTGAAGTCCAGGAGAGCGTTTGGCCGGGGGCATCGGTAATGCTCTCCCCAATAACCTGAAGGAACTGGCCCTCGCAAAAGCCTTCCGGGCCTGTGATGGCCCAAACAGTGACTGGCAACAACTCGTTGCAGTTGATCTGGGACTTGTTGAATTCTGAGAGCAGGGGGAATGAAAAGTTAAGAGCCAGTGCAATAGATGCGCCAGCAAGCGGTCCATCCTGCCGATGGGTATCCAGAGCCATGTTGGCAGCCGTCACAATCGCCCGCTCAAGCGTCCCTTTGAGGCTGCTGGAGAGCGCACGCTTATCGTTGCCCTCCATGCCCATAAGGACGCCCGTCATGACCAGCAAATGCTGCCATCTCTTTGAGTATTCATCCGCGCCCTTGACCACTGCTCGTGTCCAGTCGTCGCAGCCCAAAGCGCCTCCTTCAAGAGGCAGGCTGTCGAGCGTCTTCTTTTCATTCTCCATCTCGAGGTCGCGCACGCGAATCGCTGCGGTGTTGTAGATGCTGATGATCCGGACTGCCGTACGCAGCCCATCGTGCCTCTCCCATATGGCGGGAGCCGTCAACAGCTGCGATGTGAGGACGCCGAGGTTAAGAGGGTTGGAGAGCTGCGAGAGAAGGTGAGCGGTCGTGCCGATGATCTGCTCCGTCTTTTTGGCATCGTGGAGGTCCTGGAAATGGTGCAGGACCGTATTGAGGAGCTGGTCAGCAGGCATGATGATGCATTAGCTGCACCGTGGCTACAATGCGAATGCGCTGTTTCCAACTGGCGTGAGGAAGTTGTTGGTTGAAGGCAAGGTTGGCCGGATGTCGACGCGATCGCATATTATTAGGCGGCTGATGACTTAGCGCAGGGCCGTTGCCGAGGCTCTGGTACCTCGCAGGGACGTCACTGGAGCCGTGCTGAGCTCCACTAAAACGGCCGTTTCGTTAGCGACTTGAAGCGCTAGCTAGGAGAGCCTCTCGTCTTTGTCTCGGCCAACGAGCAGTACCGTCACTGGCAACTCTCCCAATGCGGGAGAAGAGGGAGATTTCGAGAGGTGAAGATGCCTTTTCTGCCAAGTGCCAACTCCAATCTCGACTAACAACAGCTACAGCGAGCAGCAAACCAACGCGGTCGCGCAGATGGCTCGGCGCCTGATCCCTCCGAGAAACTACACCACTCCTCGCTTCCCGTCGCTCAACGTCAATACCCTCTTCGATTCCACGCCCGACAAGCGATATACGCTCTACCATATTGGCGATGTTTGGCGCTTCACGGTCATATGGACGCTCATCACATTTGCGGTGTTCCACCTCGGCGCCGTGTTCATCGCCCTGTTCACGCACGGGTGGAAGAAGTCGTCGTGGAAATATCTCTGGTTGACGCCGATCATCTACATGGGCGTCGCCGCGCTTGAGGCCTTGCTCTCTGGAACCATCGTTGGAGTCATGTTCGTTGTCAAAGGAATGTAACAGGCGGAGATGTGTGCTGACCGTTGGAGCAGGCTTGGCGCCGTTTACCAGGCCGGATACTACGAGATGAACACTTGGATCCCCTGCACATGGGGGTTTATCAATGTTCTTACGCTGATTATCTCTTCCTTTTCGATTCAAGGAGGGCTATGATGCGCCACTTCAGAATTGCAGCTGTATGCCTTGGTATGCCTCAAAACATACGTCGAGGATCTACGCCATATCCAGTACGCAGCTTTGGGATACAATGACGGCTATGTGGCTAAACACAGCGACCCCGGGATCATTGCTGGTATTGCTGCTACTTTGGCTGAGATCCAACAAGCTAGCTGCGATATGACCAAGAAATACAGAGTGTCATCAGAGGTAAGGGGTCATACACATCGCGCTGACTATAACCTCTATTACGAATAGCGCGCATTGGTCAGCAAACAACAAAGCTGAGACTGGGCGCCACCGGCATATTCAGCTCCGCGAGGAGCAGATGGCTTTTTCTACTGCTGCGCAGACCGGATACTGAACGAACTGGTCACATGGGCTTCAGATGAAGATGAAGATTCACCAAGGGTTACGGCAAAACGAGACTGTGCACCTCCGTGTCGCTTGAAGGCCTCGGTGAGCGACACTATTGAAATCTAGATGTTCAATTTTTTTGTTTTAGCCCAAATGAGAAATAAATAAATTCTAGACTCTCAAAGGCGTCTCGAGGCTTGAAAAACGTTATTGTCTGTAGTATTGTGTTGCCTCTTAGAGTACATGTAGCTGCTAGTAACAAGTCCGGCCGCTATTTAGCCCCAAAGCTACGCCCCTGAACCGCCATCTTGGACCAAATTCCTCTCTACAGCCACTTGCGGAGCTGCCGCCTGTACTCTGCATTGTTTCGCCAGACAATCCGCGAAAAGCAGCAAAAGATCATAGACACGACGTCTCTCACTCCCTTTTATCGTCTTTATTCTCTTTTCTTATAATTGGGCAGAGAGGCCTTGCCCCCATTCCTAGCCGAGGTTGCGCCTCCTGAGACCGTGTGCGTGTCCTCCCCACGTGCAGCTTTTTGAACACAGAACACCACAGCTGATATCGCCCTATTCAAGCATCAGGGCGGAAATTCAGCATCAAGAGGGGAGATGATGATATAGACACAAGTCTACTGGCTGCTCGGTCACATCAATTTCTATTTCAAAAGAGGGCTCATCTGGCACGCGCGCCGACTCGCTCACCATGGCAAACTCATTCGTGCTTCAGCCCGACCATCACGACTTCACCCCCCCTTACCTGTCAAATCCCGCCCGCCACTCTCCGGTCTTGCGCGAGCCCGAGGATACTCCCAAGGCCTTTTATCCTGGACAGCCCAAGTCGCTCTCCGGGATCGCCCTCCGCGCGTTCTGCCTGGGCATGGCCTTGTCAGCAAGCATCATCGGCATAGCCTCCATCCTAGTCTTCACCCAGAGTCCCATCTGGCGCGTCCCTTTCTTCCTCCTATCTCTGTCTACTTTCCATTTCCTCGAATTCTGGACCACGGCCGAGAGAAACACCGCCGTGGCCACCATCGACAGCTTCCTCCTAACGGCAAACTGGCCGTCTTACGCAATCGCCCACTCAGCCGCCTTCATAGAGTGCATCGTCGTGACCGTCTTCTTTCCCAATCGCCACTGGGCACCTTTCAATTCCGACCGCCTGCTTCTTTTCGCCGGCCTTTTTCTGGTCTCTGTCGGCCAGGCTGTTCGTTCCATAGCAATGCTGCATGCCGGAGCCAGTTTCAACCATAAGATCCAGACGAGGAGGGCGCAATCGCATCTCCTCGTGACGACTGGCATCTACGGGTGGCTGCGGCATCCGAGCTATTTTGGTTTCTTTTACTGGGGCTTGGGGACGCAGCTTGTGCTAGGGAATACGATCTGCTTTGTGGTCTATTCGGCTGTGCTATTCAAATTCTTCCAGAACAGGATCAAGGTGGAGGAAGAGAAGCTGGTGCAGTTCTTTGGAGATGATTATGTCGAATATAGGAAGAGAGTCGGCACTCTGATGCCATTTCTAGGGTAGGATTTCAATTGGCCAGGTTTTGGAGAGACGAATAACATAATATTTTCCAACCATTGATACCGATAGGCATGGTAAGCATTCACAAAGTGGCAAAGCCAGCGATCATCATTATGTGTGGTGTTTATAATATTCGCCTAAATTGTGTAATCATCATATCTACCTAATAGTAAAGTATCTCTTTTTCTAAAGACTGCTCTCATAACTCCCACACACACATCATCCATACAGAATCAATCAGACAGTCATGTATATGCTTCCAAAACCGCTTATTAGTGGTGTGCCATTTGGGGCATCCTGCTCACACTGCCATACTTGGCCTGCCAGGCGTAGAAGTACATTAAAGCGGCGAATGGCTGTCCAAAGATTGTGAATGAGACCCAAAAGATGACGTTTCCCAGAATGCGGCCACCGTGGCCGAGTTTCATTTTTTCGAGAGGAGTGGTGATGGCAATAAGAGGAAGCTGAAGGAACATGCCAAAGAAAGCGACACCTGAAAAATAGTGGTTAGTCTGGGTCAAAGTAATTCGGTCAATTTGACTTCTTTTGGAAGATCAGGACATACCAATGATGTTGTGAGTTGGCACACCAACAGCAATCTCGTGAAGTACGGCCGAAACGAAGAAAACAGCAAAGCTGGCAGCGGCTGGGCTCCAGCCTCGTCCAATCATGGGCATGTAGACATGACGCTTGAAATATGTGTAAACAGGCTTGTTCCATGTCCTCCAATAAGCACCCAAGCTTTCACTATTCCACCAGTCGTCGTAAAATGATCTATCGCCAAATCGCGTAATCTCTGCCAGAGCGTTTAAGAAGGACTGGAAGAGAGCAAAGAATCCCGCCAGCCAGATAACCAGAGAGATGGTAGAGAGCTTCATAAGTCGTTCCAAAATGGAAAATAAATCGAGCGATGCAATTTTGTCTAAAGAATTGCGCAAAACAGGAGTCGCATATTGAGCGCTGGCTACCCAAATGAACACGCCGAGGCAGAAAATCTCTCCAAGTCGCTTAGCCACAAAGACCCATCGAATCTTGTCGGTGCGCGGATAGACAGGCTGGTATACCAGAGTCGGAGCCCACCAGAAGTAGACCAAGTTCTTCATTGTCACATTTTCCGGATACGGGCATGTCTTGTATAAGTCGGGCACTTCTTCTCCTTCCACCGGATGCAAATAGGCATGACGGAGATCTCGATTAGTAAATGCATATGAGGCCGTCTTGAGCCACACAACAATGGCATGCATCTCTGTCAACGTGCCAATCAATGGATGGTAGACATAAAAGTAGACCACAACAGTGGTGATGGCGAGAGCAAGAGTGATGTTGATGCCATGAGCCAGAGCCGCGAGAACCCAGATGGAGTGAAACTTCTTCCGCTCTGCTTCTGACGGACCAGAGCTGTTGTCTTTCATTCGTTTCCTTGATCCCTCGGCCTGCTTGGCGGCAACGAGCTCAATGACGTACGCCGCAAAGAGATGGCAAGGGATGAGAAAGTAGAGCAGAAGACCAAGGAGCAGGTCTTGCCGCCTATAGTCGTGACATCTGATACAAATCAAGACGCCGTACTACACCAAAGCTAGACGTTAATGCCGTGTCACTCCACTATAGATCCAAGTGACGCCTCAACGCACCTTTTGGATATTCTCAATCATTAATCTAAGATTGCCAACAACTAATGGCCTGTTAGAGATATCGTCATGACCAGATAATCCTATCGGGAGAGCATCATACCCAGCACAATGACCATGAGATTGCGGAACCCCAGAAAGCTGGGCGCCGCAGGAGAGTCGTGGCTCAGGCACGACGGCCTCGTCTGAGAATGCACTGCCGCGACATGGCGATATTTCTTCTGCACCGTCTTGGACAGCCGTTCCTTGGTAGTCCCGTTGGGAGGCTCCACTGAGGTTAGATCTGCTTTGCCGTCTGTGGAGGCATTGCGTCGAGATACTGAGCCGACGGAGGCCTCGACGCTCGTCGTTGTTGAGGATTCTGCAAGAGACGCCATCCTCGGGCCCTGGCACACGCTCTATAAAGGGATTTTTGCAGTTGCAATTCACGATGGGTATGATGAAGGAGATGAATTGGACGGCAGCGGGCGAGACGAGGTACCGATCGATCGAGCTCCAGGCCAGGATGGAGGGGCTTAGACTAACATTGAGTTTGCCTTGGACTCGCCTTAATTCCAGTCACTAAAAATCCCGGACTTATGTGTCTGGTACTTTAGCAGCAGCGGCCCGCAAATTGCCTCATAAGCCTCGGAGCATATCCAACGTTATCGGCGTCGACCGAAATTAAGACGTGACAGAGTCAGGATCCCTATCTCATGTAAGGGTGACGATAGAGATGGAGCCAGGCCCAAAGCAGATTCACGGGTGCCAAAAGCAATGGATGTGACATTTGTATGGCCAGGCGCCGTGCTATATAACGAGGTACCTGGCCTCTCTCTCTGTAATCTGGTGCTGACCGTGCCTTGAATCGCCCAAAAATGACCAGTGGCGGCGTAGGCGGAAAATAGCGGGTGTGGAGAGCTGGCTCCGAGCTGGGTGGGGCGCAGGAGCTTGAATTGGTCTCTTGGCCTTAATTTTAGCAGCAGATTGCAGTCTTGTCAGAGTAGAAGAGAGAGAAAAGCATGTGAAAACTGCAGACTGCCAAGGGCTGAAGGGCCTGCATGATATAAATAGTCTGGCCAAGCAGGTCCCATACAGTAAAGCATTATATGGAGCATCAGGTTTCACACGATGCCACGACTCGTCTTACATGCACGAAGATGAAGAGCGGCTTTTTATACAAAGTTTATGCTCTAGCAGATTACGATGCAGCTGAATTCTGATAGGCCGGGTCTGAAAATACCAATGCACCACAGGCAAGGTGTTTCTTACTTTTTTTACCATCAGCAGCAAGAACTGAAGAAGTTACTTTTGGCATTACAGCTAGTAGGAAATTAAATTGGATGAAACATGGTAAAAGAAGAGAGTCTGTTGCAGACTTGACGAGACCAATACGTGTATCCAAGCAGTGCTGACTAAGGCACAGCACCTTCGTTCATCACATGACCTGCACCCAATCAGAGCTTGCGTTTCGCCAGCGCTGTATCAGAGCTCTCAAAGCGCGAGCCTCACAGAATGAGACTTTCATCTTCACTGGCAGCTCTACAAACTCTTCATTAAGGCTTGGTTGGTCTTGGCTAAGGATCCGTTTACTTCTCACGTCCATCAATTGATACTCGAATTTCTGCTCAATTTCGTCTTTCTAACATTTTTCACGGTGTATGACCATCAATTGACGGTTGGAACGCGACGATGGCCTATGAGCCTCGTGGAGACTATGGCGATCGGGGTGGTGGCCAGGATGGCGCATTTATGAAAGTACGAGGCCGAAGTGAGTCTATTTTTGCTTTCGTTGTTTAATCGTGTTCACATTTCTTGTCTTTTGCTACCAGCGGAGCCTGCTCGACTGTCTCGGCAGCTATTGGTCGGCCTGATATTACGCTTCAAGGCAGCTATTGCCCACGGCACTTGATACCGTTGGATAATTCTTTCCTTGCATTATCTCTACGCTTGTATAGCATAATTGTTTATCTGTCAACCCTGCTTGGGCAAGTGCCCAGTTGAGAAATCTAGGGACATCATCATGTTTTCATGTCAAGAGAGAGACGGCTGCCAGTTCATCTCAACTGAATTAATGTACCATGCCTAGCCGCAAAATAAAGGAGATTCGAAAGCGGATAAGAAAAGAAACCGCCTTATTCAATGGACTAATCCAATTCCCAACAGGACCTGTGACGGACTATAGTGCCAGTGTCCTCCATTGGATGCGAGACCGCGCCCCCAACTACAGAGGCGGCTACACGGGTGAGAGGGAGCGTCCAAGCGCAAGCTACATTGTGGATGTGAGAGCAACTCGAAAGCTGATCGATGAGGAATAAAACTAACGCCCCTGAAGATGATTCCACCGGCAGGACGACCAGTGTTCCCGGCTGATTCTATCCCGGCCAAGCACCTCCATTCTTCTCTGAACAAGATCAAACACCCTATCAATGTCGTTCGATGGACCCCAGAGGGACGCAGACTGCTCACAGCTTCGACCAGCGGCGAATTCACTCTCTGGAACGGCACTGGCTTCAATTTTGAGACTATTATGCAGGCTCACGATTCCGCCATCCGAGCCCTGGAATACTCACATAGCGACGACTGGTTGATCTCGGGTGACCATGATGGAGTCATCAAGTACTGGCAGCCAAATTTTAACAACGTCAAGAGTATCAATGCTCATACAGATCCCATCCGGGACCTTGCATTCAGCCCCAACGACTCCAAGTTTGTCACCGCCTCGGACGACTCCACTCTCAAGATCTTCGACTTTGCCCTTGGCCAGGAAGAGCTGAAGCTTGAAGGCCACGGCTGGGATGCCAAGTCTGTGGACTGGCACCCTACAAAAGGATTAATCATTTCCGGATCCAAGGATCACCTGGTCAAGCTTTGGGACCCTCGTACTGCGCGAGCCCTGACTACTCTCCATAGTCACAAGAGCACAATCACCAAGGTCCTGTTCGAGAAGAAGCTCGGTCGGTGTTTTGCGACCTCTGCACGAGACCAGACAGCTCGTGTCTTTGACTTGCGAATGATGCGCGACATTGTGCTATTGAAAGGCCATGAAAAGGACATTTCGACCTTGACTTTCCATCCCATACATGCCAACCTCCTCTCCACGGGTGGCATGGACGGTTCATTGTTCCATTACATGCTAGATACACCAAATCCCCCGGCAGGCCAGCCCCTGACTGTCGCCCCTTATGACAGCCTCGACCCAGAGTCAACTCCTGCCCAGTCAATATGGCCCACACACAGGGTTCCGTTTGCTCATGATTATGCTATTTGGTCTCTTGATTGGCATCCCCAGGGTCACATTCTTGCGTCTGGGTCAAACGATCGTATTACTCGATTCTGGGGCCGTGCTCGGCCGGGTGAGACGGAAATTTTCCAGGACCGGTACCATATTGGCGAAGCAGCTGCCGAGGCACAAGGAACCTGGGATCGCCGTGGCAACCGCCGCCAGCGACAGGAGGAAGAGCAGCGTGAGCTGGAGGACGAGATGGACGCTCTGGTCGACCAAGATGCGCAAAAGTCTGGTGTTCCCGGCTTGACTGGTGGCATTCCCGGTCTACCTTTGGGCGGCGGTGCTGTCCCTGGCCTCGGCTCAAGCATCCCGCCGCCTCCAATTGTGCCTGGAGTCGGTGCTGGCTCAGCCGTGCCGCCTCTGCCTCCGCCTCCCCCCTTCGCCATCCCCGGCTTCAACGGAGCACCGCCGCCTCCACTGCCCGGACTGGATCTCCACAACCCTCCTGACCCGGCGAAGCTGCTCGAGTTGATGCAGCAGGCCGGTATGCCCATGCCACCTCCAGGATCTCTTCCTCCAGGTTTGATCCCACCGCCTGGAGGTATGCCCCCACTGCCGGGCAACTTTCCGCTTCCCATCCCTCCACCGATGAACCCCAATGACTCGGATCGTCGGCGCATACCTCTCCCTAGCCAAGAAGAGAGTCTTCGACAAGAGCAACGACATGGAAAGTATACCCGCGCGCGGTAACAGTCTCTTTCAAGTATCTATGGGAAAATTGGCTGTTTGAATGGTCGATACCTTCCTTTAATGGCGTTCTGATGGGCTATGGATGGGACCTTGAAGGGGGCCTTTTTGTTGAGATGGTTGACATTGAATAAAGTCATCGTTTCAGGTGGACCATACTTTGTAATTGTTTTGTATTATGCTAGCATTTTTCAAGAAGGGTTCAAAGGGGTATATACAGCGATTGGTCACGGGGGAATTTGAATATCTGATTTCTATCTGAAGTGCTATTCTAGTATACGATGTGCTATGTGATGCCACATGCTGTTGCTGGCTGTCTATTTATACATAACTGTGGTGTGATGTGGTGATGAATGCAAATCATGACTGGGCTTCTCAATCTCTATAGCGATACGCAATTGCCGATGAAAGAAAAACCAAGCTGATTTATATAATAGCAGACGTCATTTGTGGAGGCAGGACAAAAGAGAGAGACGTGAATGAGGGTGTTTCGTAAAATTCGTAACTCAGTCTCAGCTCCCCAAGGCGTTAATCTCATCAATGACAGCTGTTCCCCTTGTAAGCGAATCCCCGGCAAAGGCTCTCATTTGGCGCTCTTGGCAAACGCCTTTTGCCTCTCGCTGTAGTCCTTGATAACCAAAGCGCAAGTAGTGTCGGTGCAGAGCCTCCTCCTGCGCTGCATGGGCAGCAGGTTCGCAAACTCCAGGCCGCTGGCACGCTCGACAGCCTCGAGGGGCACCTCGAAGTCGGTAATGGGCTTGGCGTTGTCGATGCGGGCGTTTGGCAGGACGAATGCGCCGACGGCCACGTTGCCGCCCACGCGGCCGTCCTCGGCGAAGATGACCTTGTAAAAGTGCGTGGGCACGGCGACGGACGGCGGCGTGCCAATCATCTCGTACTTGACGTACCACTTGTTGTCGACGGGGTCCTTCTTGGGCAGATACAGCGGCCCCGTGACGATGCGCACCGAAGGATACCGCTGCGTCAGGCGGCGGCAGAAGTCCTCAAAGTGCGCCCAGTAGTCGCGGTTGAAGCCCTCGCCGACCTGCGGGCACATGTTGCTGAGGTAAAAGGTCTCGTCCATGGCGGCCTGCGACCACTTTGCGTCGGCGGCGGGCACCTGATGCCCTCTGTCGTAGCCGCTGCGGAAGTAGTCCTTGAGCAGGGCGCGGAACTTTTGCGGCACGCCGGCGTCCTCGAGGAAGACGCTGTTCTTGCGGTCGCCGCCGCGCGTGGCCAGCGACTCGGGCGTGATGTGCTCGACGACCCAGTGCGGGTTGCGCGTGCGGCGGTCGTAGCTCGAGATGAGGGCAGCGCGGGTCGCGATGTCGGACACGGGGCCTGGGAAGCCGTATTCGAAGAGGCCGCCGGGGTTGACGGGCGCTGCTGGGCCGGGGACGATGGGCAGAGGAGTGCCGCCGGCGCCAAAGACTTGGTTGGCGGGGATGGCTGTGACGGCGGTTGGGGTCGAGACGATGGCTGTGGAGGAGAGAGAGGACGAGGAGGAGGAGGAGGCGGCCATGTCTGCGATTCTGTCTTTGGGACGGAGAGAGTAGAGAGCGGCTGTGAGAGCGGCGCCTCCTCCAGCGCTGAGGGCGGCGATTGCAACCGACGTTTTGAGCATGATGAGCTTTATATATGGACGATGTGTATATATACTTGTATCACGGGGCGAGTTAGTTATAGAAGAAACGAGAATAGAAACCGCCTCGAGAACGCAGCAGTACGTCAAGTATAGCTCGAAAAAAAGAAAGACCCAGCACGAGGTAAAGGCTGCTCACGGGATTCAGTCTGTATCTCGAGCGTGCACCTTGAGGGGTCTAGGCGATTTCACAGCACTTGCGCATGTGCTCCCGTGAGACGCCTCTCCATGAAACCACTGACGTCGTCTGTCGGCCAGGCTGAGAGACCACGAGACCCCTGGGCAAGGCTGAGGGGGGAAAAAAAAGACAAAGGACAGCCACCAAACCACGAGCACGGGTTTATCAAGCTGGTATAGTGTTAAAAAAAAATTAGATTAAGTGCATGGTTTGCCGTCCAAAGGGTCCTCGGGTTCCACGCCTAGCCTAGCGGAGCCTTGTGGAAGCCTCAGGGTTAGCGGCTGGCCTTGGGCGGTTTTTGCCCCCCAGCCGGGCCAGGGGCTGCAACATGCTTATTGATTTGACGGCATTATGTGGCATAAGCCAGGGGTGCGTTTCTGCTTTTTCCTGCGTACGGAGCTGTTTTATGTTTGCCATGGATGTTTCTTCATTTTTGCTTTTTCATTTCAATTTGTTGTATTCTGTATCCTTCCGTTTCTTGTCTCATTTCATTTGATGCTGCTTCTCCGTCCTTCTTCCCCTTGCTTTTTGCTGTTCCCTGTGCTGGGAAACGCTTCGCTTCTGGAATATCTCGTCCCGCGCGCAGCCCTCGAGATCTGTCACGCCTCGGAGTCTCTCCCTCCGCCCAAACCTTCTGCTGCTGCGTCCACCGCAAATCGAACCCGCCAACACCGAGAAGCAAAGCGAGACGGCACGAGGAGACCCAAAAGGCGAGAGACTGGGAGGCAGGTGGAAGCGCAGCCTGCTTAGCTCCCCCGCGTGACTGGGCGTCTCGTCTTAGACTCGCTAATCCTGCTAGACCGACACGCTGTGGCTCTGGCCGCAGTGCACCTCAGTGAGCTCAACTTGCTACAGCGCACGCGGGCTAGGCTCCAGCGGACCGGAGACGCTGGGAATGCTGGCGAGCCCCCTATAGCGACGACGACGACGACTGCGACGGCATCGCATCACCAATGCATTACCCGCCCCTCAAGGCCGGCAGCCTCCCCAACGGCAACGGCTTCACGTCGGCGCCCAGCATCTCGGCCACCAAGCACAAGGCCATCGAGGATGCGCGCGCCGCCCAGGCCCTGGTGCTGCGCGAGTGCGCCGCGGCCGAGCGAGAGGCGCCGCCGTACCAGCTGCTGGAGCTGATCGGAAAGGGCAGCTTCGGGCGCGTGTACAAGGCGCGCAGCACGCTCAAGCAAAAGGCCAGCCAGCTGGTGTCGGTCAAGGTCATCAGCATCGAGGAGGGCGACGGCATCCAGCCGGGCGCGGCCGACACGCTGGGCGACATCATCAAGGAGGTCAACACGCTGAAGCTGCTGAGCAACACGGGCGCGCGCAACGTCAACGCCGTGCTGGACACGCACCTGGTCGGCCAGTCGGTGTGGATGGTGACCGAGTACTGCGCCGGCGGCAGCGTCGCGTCGCTGATGCGGCCCACGAGCGGCCTGGCCGAGCGCTGGATCGTGCCCATCCTGCGCGAGGTGGCCGAGGCGCTGTTCTGGGTGCACAAGCAGGGCATCATCCACCGCGACATCAAGTGCGCCAATGTGCTCATCACCGAGGCCGGCGGCGTGCAGCTGTGCGACTTTGGCGTCGCCGGCATCATGGAGACCAAGTTCGACAAGCGCAGCACCATCACCGGCACGCTGCACTGGATGGCCCCCGAGCTCTTCGACCCCCACGTCGCCTACGGCATCGAGGTCGACATCTGGGCCTTTGGGTCCATGGCCTACGAGATCGCCAACGGCCTGCCGCCAAACGCCACCGCCCGCATCAACATCCAGCAGTTTGGCGCCTATCTGAAGCAGCACCGGCCCCGTCTTCAGGGTGACCGCTTCTCCGAAAACCTCAAGAACCTCATCGCCTTTTGTCTGGTCGAGGATCCCAAGCGCCGGCCGCCCATTGAGGAAGTCCAACGACACCCGTACATCCTCAACACGCAGGACAGATATCCAACCGTCTCCCTGTCGAGGCTGGTGGCCGACTACAAGTACTGGGAATCTCAGGGAGGGAGCAGGCAGTCGCTGTTCTCGGCTGGTGGCGCCCAGGGACCTCGAATGGATCCGTCGCCCGTCCGTCAAAGCGGGTGGGACTTTGGCAATTTCGACGAGGTGGACGAGCTCATGTTCCAAAACACTGCGAAACCGCGCGTCCCTACTCCCGACTACTACCCCAGCGTTGCTTCTAGCCCCGAACCTGAACGTACGGCACGGCCGATGCAGCGTGGCCGTCGCAGGCGACCACCCCCGACCATGAAGGAGCTCAAGGCTCCTCTGGAGAAAGTCTTTGACCCTTACACCATCACAAACTATGGAGAGAACTCGAGGGCCTGGTATGGCAGGATACCCATGCCGCCTCCAACCTCGGCACCGCCAACACAGAGGAAGCCAAAGCCCCCTACTTCGAATCCCACTTCGAACCCCAACCCCAACCGGAGTATCAGCCCGAATCCCAACTCGGAACCGCCAGCACCAGCTCGCGAATCATTGATTGATCTGGATCTTGCAATGGATGACATGGACACTCCCTTATTGCCTAGCCTTGACGAGGAGACTATCAAGCCGGCTGCGCGGCCCATCTCAATCGATCTGAGCGGATCCGCTGATGAGCGACGAAAGACTCAGGATTGGAACTTCCCAGCTAAGCGCGCCACTCAAGAATGGTCATTCTCTACGGCGGACAAACGAGATACGCAGGAGTGGACGTTTCCTTCGAACAAGCGTGAGACGACGGAGTGGAAATTTCCGACTACTGAAAAACGAAGTACCCAGGAGTGGAGTTTTCCTACAGAGGAGAAGAGAAACACTCAAGAGTGGTCATTTCCAACGAGTAAACGCGACACTACGGAGTGGACTTTCCCTGCCATGACGCCCACAACGGCTACTTCCACCCCTAATCCAGACATGTTTAGCGATAATGAGGACTATCCAACCATAGTTCATCAAGACGACGATATGAGCTCCTCGGCCAATCGTGTATCGGCCATGAGTCTCATTGATCTTGACGCTTCTCTGGCGGACGACATGAGCTATAGTGGCCCCGACTCGTTCGTGCCAAGCTCTCACAATCGATCATCTGGATCGGTCCACGGATCGCTGGCGTTCGATCTAGAGCTCGAAGCGGACACTGCAGACGCAGACACTAATACGAGAGAATCCTCGCTATACATTGATGACGATATGGAGTCAGTTCCTTCACTCACGCGCCAGCCGAGCGATCTGCAGAGCACTCCCACCACCCCTGACGAGAGATCAAATCTTGCATGGGAGCCGTCTGGCCTGGGAATCATGACGAGTGCTCGAAACTCCCTCATGAGCTCCATGCCACCCCTCCCTGCTGCTCCGTCACCAAATGTCCTGCAGGGGCTGGGCTCCCAGGAGGATTTGAAGAATGAACTACATCTCATGATATCGAGTATGAGGGAACACCTGCTATACGCAAACGATTGGTTAAAAACATTTGATACCCCCACAGCAGAAAGAGAAGAAGGAGAATACGACGAAGAAGAGGAAGAAGCGGAAGCGGAAGTGGAAACATAATCTGCGCTGCATTGCGTTGCATTGCATTCTGCGCTTATTTTTATTTTATTTTTTATCCCGTGATGCGATTTTACCCGCCATATTATCGCCAAAGAGCAACAACCCCCCTATGCATATACCCCCTTTTTTTTTTGCGTACTGGTTGGAAAGAACAAAGAGAGAAAAGAAGGGAAAGGTAGGAGAAGAAAAGAAACATTATGCCCGTACTTGTAATATTCCCAGTTTCTCGTTTTCTGACGAAGCGATCTTTTTATTATTTTTTCTACGACATACATGAAGTAAAAGGAGGAACCTGCTTATTCTGATTTTTTTTTTTTTTCAATTCCTTTTCTTCTCAAAGAGCATGCGATGCTTTCTTTCTTTCTTTCTTTTCTTTTTCACCTTCTTTTTATATCTTTTTTTTTACTGCTTCCTGATTTTTCTCTTTTGCTCTCTTTTTTCTTTTCTTCTTAATGAATTCTGAAGCAACATCTATTAGCATCGGCATTATGATTGTTTACCACTTTTCTTCTACAACTGTTGTTTTTTTTTTTTAGCATGTTGACAAAACTAAATGTTTTTTTTTATTCTCACTTTTGATTGTATTTTATCACTTTTTTCTTTTTTGAATAGAGACAAGAGCGTACGCATTAGTCGGTATAAGAGCGTTGGCTGCTGGGGTCTGTTTTCATGTTTGGGGCACTTCTTTACATGCATCCACGGCACTGGATCTATTAGCATTACTGGAGCATGAGTCGATTTGAGATTGGCTTGATACTAGATACCTAGATTGACTAAAAACAAAGGCATTTGCCACTGATTAATGCATCCATGGTGATGCCAGCATCTCCAATCATCCATTCACAACATCCATTACTTATAGAGCATTATCCTGTCATCACCAGTCACAAAATTGGAGCAGCAACAGGAAAGAAAAAGGGAGAATAAAAAAGACTCAGCACCAGATAAGCAATGGAAATTTGAATTTCACAACCAAAACAAAAAAAAAGTTTCGCCTAAAAAAAAAGAGTATGCTGAGTCTCATAAAATAACTCTTCATGGCCCAACGCCTCTTCCCCTCCTGCCTTCTCAGTAATCGTGTCATCACCGGGAGCCACTACATATAGATTGTGACCTCATATCCTCCCCACCGCTGCGTCCTTTCTTCCCACGGCATACACACTCCTCGTTTCTCTTTTAAACGTATTGAGACAGCCATCTGATACCGTCACCGTAGCCCTGTCGCATCACCACAGAGCACATGAACAGCTCGATCGGTCGGATGCCCTCTAGCTGCATCTTGCCCTTTCCGGTCGTCTGGTACAGGCCCAGCTGGTGTCTCAGCTCATCCTCAGAAACGGCATCGGGGTGGTCGATCTTGTTGCCAAGGATGACAAAGGGGACCTTGGAAAGCTCCTCCATGGACAGGAGGGCATCGAGCTCGGCCTTGGCCTCGGGGAATCGCTCGTGATCCTTGGCGTCGACGAGGAAGACGACACCGTTGACGTCGGGGAAGTAATCTCTCCAGATACGACGGGCTAGAAGTGGTGGAGGTATGGTAAGCATATAGACATTTTTACACTGCGTAGAGCTAAAGATTTGGAGAAAGGAGGAAGGATTGTAGATTTGATAAACATACCCTGTTGGTGACCACCCAGATCGAAGGTGTTGAATCGAACGTTGCCAATGGCAAGCTCCTCAGAAGCTAAATAATCAGTCAGAAAAGAGACTTTGAGAAAAAAAAAAGAGGGGAGGAAGTAGGGAAATAAAGTCGTCGGTTTATATTCTGCGGTGGTAATGGGCGGCAGACTTACTAGGGTGAAGAGTAGGTTGCAGGATAGCAACTCGGTCGTTCTATAGCAATTCCATCATGTTAGATCATCATCATTCCCAGAGCCTTCATCCATGTCCTGCATCGTGGAGATCGATCGCATGCGCAACAGCCCATCCACTGTAAAAAAAAAAAAAAAAAAAGAAAACTGTAGTGATCGTCTGTTCATATCCATCCCTCCTGTCTCAGGCGCCCCCCTTGTCTTTCTTATCGGCGACGTACCTTCAGCATGTGAAGCAACGTGGTCTTTCCGGCATTGTCGAGGCCCAGGAAGAGCAGCTTGGCGTGCTTGTTGAGCAGGCCCAGGGAGGACAGCACATCGTAGACTAAAGTTCAAAAAAAAATAAGGGCAAAGAAGTCAGTTCTCTATGTTTGCCATCGCTGTAAATGCAATCGCGCATGTGTTGCGGACAAAAAAGTGGCGGTTTGTCCAGAGCGATTAGACTGCGCTGACGGAGGGGGGGGAAATGGAATAGAACAGAATGAATACATACACCAGTTAACAATCCACATGTTGGGCGATTGGTATCTTTTATTTCCTAATTCACAATTTGAAGTGCCAGATGAAAAAAAGGAAGAGTGAAAAAAGAAAAGCAAAAGGGTATAAGAAGAAAAAGGAAGAGAGATGCGATGGGCTGCCCGGCTGAAGTTCGCAGAGCAGAAGGGAAAGTTGTTGTGACGATGTTCGATGCGAGCTAGATCGGGTCCGGGAAAGGACAATCAACCGATGCTGCTTTACCGCCTTGTGATTTTGGGCGGGCCATCGAGACACGTGACATGCCTTGTTGCTCAGGCACCAAAAAAGAGGTACATGGCGGAAATTATGTGGCGAAAGTGCGCAGTTGACAATGGGAAAAGTCTAAGTTACGGGTAAGTTACCTGCAGTTATTTGTTTGTCATTGATCAGCTGCCATGACGAAAACAAAGGCCAAATATGAGGAAAAAGAGAGCATCGTGATTGTCATGGCGTGACTTGAAGATGTTGTCATGTGATATCGCCGAAAGATGGACATGGCAAAAAGTTGGCCGCACTACGAAGATGGACAGTATCTAGGTAGGTACCTATCTAGTAGAGACAGCAGGATTACGTGGCTTCAAAGCACTTCCAAGCTGCTCTTCAGAGCAAGCAATTTCTCCGCACAAGACAAGTCACGCTTAAAATGTATAGAGCAAATAAAGTTTAGGTCTTGAATCTCGCTTCAGTATTACTATCTAGTAATATCAACCGACAGCCTCTCACACAGAGAAACGTCTTGCCGACCAACGCCAACTGAGAGGTCCGCATTCCCCAATGCGGCCTCCTGGGTGTATCCTAAAAGCAGACAGATATAAAAAAGGACAAAAAGCCTCCCCAGGTATGGGTATCCCACTGTAGCCACAGATGATGTGTACTGTTTTTCATTATATACAGGAGTCTCTCTATCCATCCAGAGCCATCTCCGAAAGATGAAAGATCACGCAATTATATGAAATAGAATTGTGTCATGAAATCGTGAGAAGAAAAAAATTAAAGGAAATAATAAAGTGAAAGTAGGAAAGGTTATGAAAACACCTTGGGTATATAGGACTTGTATGTAAGCGAGTGCGTCAACGGACATATAAAAAACGCCGCCCAACAAACGATGGGACTGTGGAACCCATTCCTATCAGAATGCTCAAAACTCCTCTTCTATGTGTATGTCATTTCCATGTGTTGAAAATGCGAGAAGGACTTCTTGCTTAGCAAGAGAGGACGTAGCCTGGACCCTTCTTACCGGCCATGAGCAGACCAAGCTCTCGCATGCGCTCGGCACCAAGGCCGGGAAGCATTGTCTTCCGCTCGGGGATCTGTCCACGTCTGGCACGATCGCAGTACTTCTGGAAGAACTTTTCCTTGCGGCGCAGACGCTTCTTCTCAAGACCCTTGACAATGTCGATGGCGCTACGCATGTGGCCATCGGTGTCGGATGAGGTCTTGGAGCCCTTGGGCTGCTTCTGGTGACGGAAGATAGCCGCAGGTCTGGGCAGGGACTTTGTATGGGTAAGACCAGGGCGGCCGGCCAGCTGGAAATTGGCGTGTGCACCCTGTCTGGGAGTCTGGATCGGGGTGGCGATGGCCACAGCCTTGGGGGCAGGGGAGCGAAGTCGTCGAGGCGACTGGCGGTCAAAAAGAGGTCTGGGGGAACGAGCGCGAGGCTTGGGAGCAGGGGAGCGAGCACGAGGCTTAGGGGCGGGAGATCGAGCACGAGGCTTGGGAGCGGGAGATCCGCGTCGCTTAGGAGGTGGAGAGCGGAGACGACGGGGAGATGTGTTCCCATTCTTCCGCTGTCTCCGGGCACGGTCGGTCTCGCTGCCGAGATCCTCCATGACCCCCTGCACCCACGCGTGGCCATCGCTGTCGGAAGCATCCACGTAGATGTCCTCCTCATCTTCCTCGTCAAGGTCCGAAGCCGGGAAGCTAGGGTCAATGTCCTGAGGGATGATGCGAAGCTTCTCGTTCCTGCGGGCAGCGAGGCACGACAGGTAAGCATCCTCGACGGGCCGATCCTCATCCAAAGTGCCGCACACAAAGTCGGTGCTGTCAGGCAAGTCAGGTGCCTCGGTCTGAGGTCCAATGAGTCGAGCCTTGGAGGCACGGCGACGGCTGCGTCGGGAACCAATGGAATCATCCGACTGCTGGTCGTTGATAGAGAGTCGGCGAGCCAAGCGAGGAGTGAACTGGCGTGGGATAGATGGAACTCGAGGAGTCCACATCATCATGTTCTCGTCATCGTCGTCCTCCTCGTCGGAATCAGCGAAGCCAGTCTCCTCGTCGGTGTGATAGCCATCAGAGTCGTCGTCCTCTTCGTCCTCATCCTCATCTTCATCCTCCTCATCTTCCTCATCCAAGTCTAGGTCATCATCAAGTTCATCGGCTTCATCCTCGTCCTCGTCTTCATCATCCTCATCCATGGCTGTCTCAGCCTCATCCTCCTCCGCCTCTTCCTGTTCGGCTTCCTCCTCAGCTTCAGCTCCTAGGCGGCGAATCAAGTTTTCCTTGACCAGAATATCGGAAATAGTAAGCTTGGTCTGAGTGAAGTTCTCTTGGCGAATCCAGTCGTCCTCACGAGCCATGCCACTGGCAAACTCGTGGAACTGGGAACCATCCTTGATGAGCTCCGTGGAAGAAGCACGAATGAATCGAGGTCGAACGAGGGAGGCCTTGCAGCAGTCTGCTTCAGCAGGGGCTGGTCGAGGAGAGATGGGGACAGGATGTGTCATGCTCCTCTTGGGAGTAGAGGGCTCATAGGGCTTGGGAGAAGTCTTGTGCGAAGACGACGGGCGGGCTGTGCATGCGAATTTGATGCAGGTTCGCTTTGGTGCGTCTTCCTTTGACACAGGCGTCTTGAGCATGGCAGCAGGAGGGGCGGCTGCTGCAGGAGCAGCTTGTGGCTGAGCTTGAGGCTTAGCGGCACAAGCAAACTGGATGCATCGCTTTCGAGGAGCTTCCTTGACAGGCTCCTCAACTACTCGTCTAGTGCCGAAGAAGTTGCCAAAGAGGCCGCTCTTCTGCTCGCCGGCACCGTGGAGACGAAGCATCGACAGATTGGGGAGAGGCGGGCTGGGAGTGTTTGTCCGTGAAGGGCTGGTAAGGCCAGTGTCACTGGTCAGGTCGGCGGTGGAAGCAATGCTGGCATTGCTGACCATGGAGCGGCGGCGTTGGCTGTAGGATTTGGACGGGTGGAAGACGTGAGCATCCTCTTCGTCTGATTGTCCAAGGATGGCCTGAGTCAGCAGCGAAGACGCAACCTGCTGTTGACGAATCGGCGCTCTCTGGAAAGGAAGAGGCTTGGTGGGTATAGGCATAAACAGCTGGGTTTCTGGTGGCTCGTCGGGGTCCTCAATGAGATCTGACCCTTGCGTCGCCCACTCGAGGTGATGTGAAGTTGGAAGAGTCGCCATGGTCGCTGTTGTTGTGAGGCTGAAGGTGTATATCGTGGTGAGTGAATTATAGTAGGCGAGTAGATGATTCGATTCGAGAGAAAAAAAAAAATATCCAGCAATGACAACAAGAAGGATTTTCGTCAAATGCCCCGTTTGGTATTGAGCCAAAATACAGAGACACTGAGAGGCGAGTATAAGGCGTCGTCGTCTTCAACTCAAGAGGGGCGTATGAAGGATTTGTGTCGTAGCAAGGCGAAGCGTGTAAGCCGACACAAGGCTTCCAGCTCGTGAGAACAAAGTCTCTTCAAAGATTGTCCCTGAGGACCGCGATGCTATAACATCAAAACCAACATGTTCAATATCCAAAGAGTCGAGAGTCGAGGCAGTGGACGTGGACGTGGACGTGAAAAGGACTAAAAAGGGCTTTTGGGGCCCGCGCGAGTGGTTATAAGAGTGAATGCGAAGAAGCGGGTGGCAGGCCCAGTCCACTTTTAGCAACGCTCTCTGGTGATCTGGGGGGGCACACTCGCAGGACGAATCAACGCAGACTGGAAAAGAGTAAAAGAAAAAAAAGGGTCCAGAGGGGCGTGTGATTATCGAGCAGAGGAGGCTTCTTGGCAGATTCCGGATGACGTCCGTTCCAGATGTGGCGTGGCGGACCTGACACGACAGAATGCCGGGAGGTCGGTAGGGGTGTGTGTAGACGCCAATGCAGGGATCTCCGATGCTTGGGAGATGTTGGATTTGGATATGGATATGGATATCGAGGCGACCCAAGGTCTCAGACATGCAATGCAGACGCTGTGATGTGATGAGCGCTGCGTGCCGCTGTTCGCGCCTACATGTAGCACCTGGAGAAGAGCGGGTTGGAGCAGAGAGTTGGGGGGTGGGAGCAGCGAAGAAGAAAGAAGCGAGAACGAGCGCCACACACGCGTAGCAGCAAAAGGAAGAAGTCAAGAAGAAAAAGAACAGACGCGGGCGGGAAGAACCAGTTCGAGCGTCGGCGAAGGCAGCCAAGCACAAAAGGTGAGGGATAATTAATTGATCTGCCGCCACTGCACACTAGCACCGAAGCATCGAGCGCTGCTGCTCATACGGAGTACATCGGGATTTGGGGGAACGGAACATCTACAGTAGCGCAGCGTAGCAGGCGATGAGAAAAGCAGGGCCCAGCGCGAGCAACAGCAAAACCTGCAGCCCAGACAGTGCCGAGGGCAGAGCCCGCACGCGCCGAGGCCGTCCTGTTCAAGGGCCTCGTGCCGCTTCTGGACGGCTGCAAAGCGCACCTGGACCAGAAACAACGCGCAGCCAAGGGTCGGGGCACAGTGTGCGGGCGCTACAGCCGCGCCGACAAGAGGCACGGGGCTCGCGCACAGTGGGCTGCACAAGCACAGAGCACAAGGCACCTGAGCACCACACAGTCACAGTGCAGCGATGGGTGGGCGCCCATTTGGTCCTTTTTGGGGGGTGTGGGCGCTGGTCTTAGGGGGGGGGTTCCGCAAATTAAGAGCCACTGAGTGGTTTTCTTGGGCTGGTGCTCATCAGCCTGCGATCCAGCGGCCGATCTATGCGCAGGCGCCAAATTTTCTGCGTCCAGCGCGGGCTGGCGAAATTTCCATTTCGCTACAGTGCCTACGCACGGGTACAATCCAGCACAGCAGTTCTGGCAGCACGCGCTGTTTAGACCGGAAATAGCCCATCGAAGGTCGAATCCAGCCTGTGAGCCAGCGCTAGCACCAATACAGAAGCGTCCATCCACATCGTCGGTGTCGTCATGATGCGACCCAAGGGGCCTTTTTTCTTTTCGATTTTATTTTCCTGGCGAATGCAATGCGCATCGTTGATGCTAAAATAGGGCATCCGATGGTGGAGGGTGAGCTGATGGCCCTCCACTAACTGCATTCATTCCCACAGCCCTCTGTCAAATGTCGATAGCCGCAACGACCTGAGGCTCGAGGGGTTGGAGGGGGGCACGCAAATGAGAGCAGAAACAAGGGATGGGAAGCTCTTCTTTCGATGTGCCGCTCGCTTCCCCGCTCGCATCTGCATCGAATAAACAGACAAAGAGTAAAGCGTCGATGCCCTTGTCAGGGGAGCGCGCAAAGGCATGCACGGGAGCAAAAGGAGCAGGCAGCGTCTCCGTGGGATTTTCAGCTTCAGCTCCATGCAGCACTTACAAGAGGTACATGCCGTATACGTGTAGGCAGGCAGGTATCAAATGTACATGCGTGGATGCGTACGCCGGCGTTGCAATCGCTACTCCGTGCTCATTCCATCCACCATATTTGCTCCGTACCAGCGACTCCCGGGTCCCGATCGGTCCCAGAGCTCGTAGGTACATGCCCCGTACGCGTGCAGGCAAGGCAGTACAAGAAGGGATCGCGGTATATGCTCCGTACCTTGCAAATTTCCGCCTCGCCTCGCCTCGCCTTGCATGTCTCACAGATTGTCGCTTAACTGACCAGCAGCCCTGGCACTTGGCTCCCGTGTTAAGCATATATCGCACAAGACATGTCTCTCACTAACATGTCTCGCCGAATATGGATCGAAATTATACGAGCATCGAGACCCTACAGCCAGTACTTCCGGCTGCTACGTTGCCCATGCCCAGAGTCACCTCAAGGCATGTACATATCAGCACCACTCTCTCTCTCGTGAGCATTCATGCATGTGTGTATACAAGTACTGTAGGGATGTCTGTTTATAGCACATCCCTTTTGCACGGCAAGCGAGAAATGATCCATCTGTCGAATTCCACCGCCTAACAGAGATCTTCCTTGGCAAATCTAATACCGGCAATATCCCAATTGCATGTTATGGGTAACACGAGAGAGATCAAGAAGATTGAAGAGAGGAGCTTCACGTGCCGCAGATGTGCTGTCTGCCCATCATGTCGTCGTTGATGTTCAGCCAGCGTGGAGGAATGAAGTCACTCGCTGCCATAAAGCGTTTAGACGGCACCAAGTACACGCATAAAAGGGCATAAAGCAAGTCGCCTCATAGCGCAGCATCATGATGATGACGGGAGGCTAGCTCGCCAAGAAGCTCCTAAACTGACTTCTCCATTCTGAGAGAAAAGCACATACTATGTACTGTACTATACAGTACTGTAGGCCTTGCTTCTGACAAACAAACAAGCAAGCAGCAAAATATGCCTCATAGTAAAAGGCCGCTCCAGGAGAGCTTAGCGCGACGCTGCTGGGGTCATTTGGCGCGTGAGCTGGGGTCGCCTTTGCTTGCGTGCTGGATGGAGATGGAGCTGGAGCTGGGGCAGCAGCTGTGCGCCATTCATTGATCAGAGAGCATCACAAGCGAGGGCGAGGCTCCGCTTGCAAGGCGGATGGGCATGATTCCCATCCATTCACCGCCCGCTGGAAATGGACCGTGTTGGTGTGCTGGGCTGTACTGTAGGTCAGCCCATTCGCCCGCTGCATTTCGAACGCTGATGGAACAACAGAAGGCAGAGACGTGATTGCTCCAACAAGGATGATCCTCATTGCACTCAGGGGACCGTCAGCAGGCGAAGCTCACATCCGCGCCTAAAAATACACCACAGTGCCGTCATATATCGCAAAGCCTGTTGATTGGCACCCCGTGTTTGTTACTTGTATATGAGTTCGCACTCCGTGCTTCAAGTAGACGCAGGTTCAGCCAGTGCTCAATGCCAGGTGGGAGACCTCTTTGCTGCCTGTACGTGCAATTGGCCAATGAATCGCGGCCTGGAGATGTGTCCAATCAGGTCATGCTCACTCGATATTGCGTCCAGGTCCAGCCGCAGCCCGCGGCAGCACAATAATCGTACAGTAGGCCATATGCACCTCGCTGCAGATGGGTTAGCAGGCGTTTCGCTTCACTGTGAGGCTTACTGTGAGGGACTCTCGGGGCCACAACCGAGCCAAGGCCGTGCAAGCCTGCAGCTCTTACCTACTGGTGGCTATGATTCTTTTGGACGGGCGCCGTCCGCACTGAGTTAGCATTCTACATGCTGCTCTTGTGCTAGCCGCACTGTTCTGGTACGACGTCGCTCTGCAGCCGACTTTGCCCAATTTGACGGTCGCAGAGTTCCTCTACAGTGCACGGAAAATCAAAATCCTCCGATTGAAGCGAAGCGCGAGCGCCACTAGCCACGGCCGGATTCGGAGAGCCGTGGCAAAGACTCCAGCTACTGTTGTGATGACCTGGGAGCAGAGTACTGTACAATAGCACACGGTCGAGAGTCCAGACCTGAATAGACAGACAGACACGCTTCACTAGCTCCAGACCCGTCGCAGGAAGCACAGAGAGAAAAGAAAAAAAAAAAATTTCTCCTTATCCCGTGGGCCGCTGGAGCCGCTGGCCTCCTCGGATTCTCGCAACGGCTCGGCCTTGCCGGTGTTTGCCCGGTCTCTCTCTGCAGCTTCCATCTCGTGAGCAGGAGACTTTGAATTGTCAATTGACCTCTGTCCCCGAGTTGACTGCCGGAGGCGAAAAGAGCGATTCCGCGACGGTACTTGGCTGCCGAGGCAAGTCAGCGTGCTGCCCCTTTACGCGCATTGCCTCGCTCCATCCGGCGCTGTACCTCGCCTCACGGGACTCCCGCTTACAGAGGTAGGTAGGGAGGCTTTGGGTTTAGTGCCGTAATATGCCGGCGTGCATGAGAGACCCCTACTCGATCAGGTCTCGTACATTAGCATGCAGAGGCCGCTCCATACCCCATACTTGCACTTGCAAGTAAAGGAGACGCTGGCAGGTGGGATGCGCCACGCAGTTTTGTCATCGCGTGGCGCGCTGCCCACTGCCAGACCTGCTGGGCCAATTCAGGCTCGAACTGCCACACGGCGATCGCCAGCAAAACTGCACCATGACGCCAAATTCCTGCCAAACAATGGCAAACCTGATGCATTTCCTGTTATGCGCAGATCGGGGAACGAAGAAAGCTGCTTTGCCATGACTCTAGAAGGGTCGATCAGGGCTGGTGGAATGCTACCCCCCCTTAATCAAGAGACAATCATCCATGTTGCAGCCGCCAGTCAGTTGAA